TCTTCTCCTCCTCCATTCTTCTTCTTCTTCTTCTTCTTCTTCTTTTCTTTGTCTTCTCTTTCATCATTTATTCTTTCTCCTTCCTACCTACATTTTCCCCATTCATTTCTTTTTCTTTTCTTTTCATCTTCTTTTTCTTCCTTTATTTTTTTCCAAACCTAAAACAAACCCCAACCCTAATTTTTTAATTTCTTCATATCCATCATTCAAATCATCAATCTACCTTCACAAAAAAAAATCTCTACACATCTTACACATTCCCAACCAAAAAGCTCCTTCACCCTCCACTTTTTATCTTTATCGTAGAAAGAGAAATTCTCTCACTAGAAAGAGAAATTTTTCACAAATGCTTCCCTTTCCATCTCAAACATCTTCTTTCACCAGCATTCCTCCATATCTCCCCTTCTATAAAGAAAAAAATTTATATTTCTCTCTCTTTAAACCTCACCCTTCATTTTCCTACATATCATAAATCTCTTCCTATAAAAATCCCTCTGTTTTCTTATTTTTCCTCTTTTTATCTCTAGAAAATAAGCTAATCTCACTTTTTCCTATTTTAAATTAAAAAAAGCTTGCCACTATTTAGCGAGCGAGAAAATTTATTATGTATGAAAAGAATTAAGTACTTGTCACTATGTTTTTAGACGGGAAAATATTATGTTTTAAAAAAGTAATTGAAGACCCCGTGACCACTTTTATTAATGAGCGGAAAACAAAACTAATGCTGTGGTGTCACTTGACACCAGCCATTGCTGTCTTTCTTGGCATGCGATAAGGCTCTACAAAACCCGATACAGCCCCCTATGTGGGGACAACGACTAGGTGCTGCCAAAATTTTCAAGATAATTTATGACTTAAAAATTTCAAAGAGATTAAAATCCACCTAAAGCTCTAAGTTAACAAAAAATAAAATACACGATACCCTAAGCTCTCGACACTGAAAATTAAAGAAAAAACCAAAAGCATAACAAAATACAACTTACACTGAACTTATAGGAGAATTAGTTATTCACTAACAAATAGAAATCAAATTTCTTCCTCCTAATTCTTGAGCACACCTAAACTCTCCAGCAACACTCCCTACAAAAGTTAAGTGTGAAAAAAAAATGAATTGAGCCTCTCTTCAATTTAAAATATGGAATTCAGATTATTTGTGAACCTCACAACTTAAGGTCCCTTGTTAAAGGACAAAGAAAGTACACCTATGGACCCAGCCAGCCTATGATCTCCTTCCTAAAAGACAAAGAAAGTACACTTATGGGATTCACCAGCTTAAGATCCTAAGATGTCATTTTGAGGCTCTAACCTTGAATTCCTAGAATATTCACTAGCAAGTGAAATACGAACATAAATACATCTAAATACGAGCTTAAATACTTCCTTATCCTTTAGCAAAGGAATCTTAAGTGATGGGCTCGCAAATAAGCTGAATTTCATATTATAAATAAGAGGGAGGCTATGTTCATTTCTTTTACACTTAACTTTTGTAAAAAGTGTAGATGGGGAGTTTAGGTGTGTGTAAGTCAAGAGCTAGGAGAAAAAAATTTGTTTCATACTCATTGATAAATTAGTTTTACTATAAGTTTAATATAAGTTGTATGTTGTTATGATTTGAATTCCTTTCCTTTTTTATTTTCAATGTCATGAGCCTAGAGTCTCGTGTATTTTTTTTTTTCTTACTTACAACTTCAGGTGGATTTTAATCTCTTCGAAATTTTCTAAATCATGAGTTCTATTGAAAATTTTGGCAATACCTAAATATTATCCCCGCATAGGGGGTTATATCAGGATGTGTAAAGCCTTCCTGCTTGCCAAGAAAGGCAATCATGGTAAATGTCAAGTAACACCGTAGCAGCAGTCTCGTTCTACGCTCACTAAAAAAAGCGATAACAAGGTCTTCAAGTACCTGTTTAAAACGCAGCATTTTCCCACCTAAAAAAACAATGATATGTACTTAATTTTTTTCATACATAATAAATTTCCCCACTCGCTAATAAAAGAGATCATGGGTACTTATATTTCATGCATATGAATTTTCCTGCTCGCTAGTAAAAGCAATCACGAGTACTTATGTTTTCTCGCTCGCTAATAAAAACGATCACGATTACTTTGTATTTCATGCATAGAAATTTAAAATACTAGTGTCAGGTTTATACCTTAAGTGCACAGTGAGTTGGTGACCGAGACAACGACAACGAATGACGACGACGAGAAAAAAACCTATGATACACATTCATTTTTTTATCACATATGCAATATAATTAATTACATATGCCTTCTTTTAATTTAAAATAGGAGATAGAGAGAGATTAACTCTTTTTCTAGATAGAGAGAGAGAGAGAGGAAATGAGAGAAAGAGAGAGATTTGCATAAAAAGAGGTTTATAATGTGTAGGAGAATGGAGGGTGATGTTTAGAGAGAGAAAATCCTTATCTCTCCAATTTTAAAGAGAGAAAGAGAGAAGAGGAATTTTTTCACTCTCTAGGAGGGGAGATATGAAGGAATGATAGTAAAGGAAGATGTTTGGGATAGAGAGAGAAGCGTTTGTGAAGAAATTTCTCTCTTTTTATAGAGATAACTTTTTCTCTCTCTAAGCTAGAGAGAAAGTTGGGGTGAAAGGACTTTTTGGTTGGAGATATGTAAGATATGTAGAAGAGAGATTGGTGATTTGAAAGATGGATATAAAGATATTAGAAAATTAGGATTATGTTTGTTTTAGATTTGAAAAAAAAAAGAAGAAAAATAAGATAAAGGAGAAGGAGAAGAAGAGGAAGAGGAAAGAAAAGAATAAAAAATGAATGAGAAAAAGGATGTAGGAAAAAGGAGAAAAAATAGAGGAGGAGAAGAAGAAGATGAATGGAAGAGAAGGAGAAGAAAAAGAAGAAGAATAAGAAGAATGGAAATTTTACCTTGAGCTTTGAGGGAGCTTGGGAGGCGGGCAGATGAGAGGCGTGAGATAACCGAATGGGGAGAGTGGAAATCGTGGGTTTGGCGATTTGGATAGTGTGAGATAGTGTTATGAGCGTTTAAGTGGAATTAAGGGTTTAAGTGGGGACATTTTAGGTTTTTTTTTTTATTTTAGATTTTTTTTTTTAATCTCTCTTTCTCTCCCTCTCTCTAAATTACTTTTTATAATTATATGGAATGAAAAAAAAAATTATGATGCACCAAGTTAATCGTCACGTCGTTGTTATTTGCCCATGTCGTCACCTTGATTTACGCGTCTAAAATTAAAATTTTCACTGATCGATGGTCTCAATCAATATGGGCATCGATATTAATTGTTTACATTGCTCCAGACGCGTCGACGCTATTCGTTTCGCAAACAGAGGCCATTTTGACAATTTTTAGAGCTGCAAGCGAACCAAATGTTTGACGAGCTACTCATTGCTCGGTTCAATTAAAGCTCATTTGTGATCATTTAACTAACTAAACAAACAAACTTGAACATCATTTTAAATACTCGATCCTTAAATAAACAAGCCTGAACACTAACGTATTAGGTTCATTTATGTTCACAAACAACATTTGAAACTTGTGAACAAGCTCAACAATAAGCTCGATAAGAAGCTAGATAAAAGCTCGATTCGTGTTTGATTCAGAGCTCATGAATAAACTCGATAAAAATTCGATTAATATTTAATTATAAAATTGATAAATACACATAATATAAATATTTTAAAGTTGATATACCACAATAAATTTGTTCATGAAGAAGAAACATTTTACATTTATCCACATTTGCTAGATTATTTGTTTAAGACATTAATGAACAAATTTAAAGTTTGTTTGTTCAATAGATTATTTGTTAAATATATTCACAAAACAAACCTCGTTAATATTTGTTTGTTTAAGGCTCAATAAGCACTAAACAAACCAAACATAAAGAGAACATGAACCAAACATAAAGAGAACATGAACCAAACATGAACACTGATAAATTAAACAAACCAAAATGAACACAAAAAATAAAGCTTAAATCAAACATGAACCGAACTTGAACGAGGTAATAATAAACGAACTCAAACGTGAACGGCTCGATTCGCTTGCAGGCCTAACAATTTTGGTTTCTGATCGACTTACGTCGGGTGAGTTTTACGCAATTTTAAGCTCTTTCACTTTTGAAATTCACCTTACGCGGTCGACTCGACCCCAACACCAGTATGGAGGTCAACAGCTGCTTACACCTTGAAGCATATACTAGTTTTATTTCCAATTTTGCCTTTTTAAACCTTAAAATGAACATTCTAAATATAAATGAACACAATAACATCAAACCAATAAAGATTATGATGCATTTAAATTTTGTGTGACACATGAACAGTCATTAAGAAAAATTTGAAAGGAATTAATGCATCATAGTGAAAAATGCAACAACGTAAATTCTTTTGGAATGAAAGAAAATCTACCTTTTTGTAAATAACAAATAAGAGCTTATTAAAGTTGTTTAAAATAACAAAAGAAAATGCTAAATTATTCCTAAAAAAACAAACAATTATGTAACCATGTTAATGAACGCCATGAAATCAAATAAAAGTATTTTATTAGGAGCTAAAGGAAAGGAAATCACCCATTTTTGTAAATAGCGCTTAAGAACTAACCAAAGTTGTTCAAAAAAAATAGAAGAGAATGCTAAATTAAGTGTGCTAAAATAAAAAAAATGCAGTATGCCATATAAATCAAATAGAAGCGTTTTCTAGAAACTTGATCAAAGAAACAAGCTTCACAGGATTCAGAAGTACAGATGAGGTGACATAAGAAATACTTGTGTGCAAGCAAAACACGAATAGTTCATGGTCCTATACAGCTGCTTGTTTTTCTTTGATCTCACAACTTTGATTAACTCACAAATGAAAAAGGTGATTGAAGGCAACAGTTAAATTAGATATCACTATATGTTTGATAGCATATATGAATCAATGCAGTCGTCAATAAAACATCTAAAATAAGCAAAAAAATAATTACATGCATTAAACATCTTGATGAAGGAAGGAAGCAACCTGCTTATCCAAACGCCAATCCGACGGGTGTCTCCAGCAGATAGCTCGTCCAGGCCGATTTGCTAGAAAAACCACATCAGCAGGCCAAGGAGAGCATTTAACATGAAATGCTATGAAGCATCGTACACAATGCCAATGGTTTGTCCGATTGCAAACGAAACAAGCCTGTTTGAGGGAGGAAGAATATGAGTCCAAGATAATTACACGAAGGATGCTTTGTACATTAGGTGGTTAAAGAGTGTACCTCTAGTGCCCGACAAGGTTGTGCATTTTAACGTTACTATCATTTAATATACAGTAAATTTGATATTAATAAGCATTGGTGCAATCCTAAAAACTAAGAGTTTATTTGACATATGTTTAAAATAAAACCAATTATTTGGCTATTCAATATTCACACACAGCGAACATAACAAAACTTTAAGTTTTTTTTCATATTCTCTCTGGAGAGTTATCTGTAATTGTCTATTTTTGCAAAAAAATTGTAGCTAGAATGATGAGGACATCTACCGGACATTTCTACGTACTTACCATCGGCGGGATCATAGATTGACGGCTACGATTCATAGTCTCTATTTATGATGTTTTAGTGCATTTCTTTTATTTATTTTTCAGTTTTTTCACTTGTACCCCTATGAAGGATTTGTGTCATATTGTAGCCTGAGGGCATTTGTGTCTTTTACATTTTGTGCTTTGGAGGCCTATATATAAAGGCCTAGTCTTTGTATTATTTTTCGATGATGAATTATGAAGAAAATTTCAATTTTCTTTGATCTCTTAGTGAGTTCTTGAGAGGAGAACCCTAGGCGGGTGAGAGCAATACTCGTCAACCTTTGGATGATTCCAAGGTTCGTAGTTTTACGATCTCTTTGTGAGTTCTTGGTTCTTTTATTTTAGTCTTCATCTTCCTCTTCCTCTTCCCTCTTCCCCTATACCGCCGGCCTCCTTTGGCCACCCCACCCACCGGCCACCACCCCTCTCAAGCCACCGGCCTCCTCCCCAACCCAATGGCATCCCCTTCATCCCTCCTCCCACCAGCCAAAATCCCCGCTCCCAATCCCACCGCCAGCCACCCCTTTTCTTCCCCACTTAATGTTGGTTTAATCACCATCAAGACCTACCTAATTGAGCCTACCTGATTGTGGAAAGCTAATTTGAATTTCAAATACTTTCTAAAATTAGTCAAGTTAAATTAGGAAAGTTTTTCCATTCAAATCTAATTGAATATTAAATTAGATTGGAATTCTTATTTATTTGCTTAAAGTGGATTAATGCATTAAGAAGCATTAATTTATCCCCTCATCTCCCTCCTCTATGCATGCCGTCAGCCCCCCTATATGGAACCCTACTTATTTCTTTTCTCTCCCCACTTTAACATTACCTGGATTTGGATTTGAAATTCAAATTCAAATTCATAATTACCTCCCACCAATTAACTCCAAAATCTAAAATTAATTTCAGATTTTGTCTTTCCTTTCTTCCACCCCAAACCCTAACCTCTTTTCCTCCTCATCCGCCAACCCCCTCTCTCCGCCGCTCCCTCCTCTCCTCCCAACCGGCGGCTCCACCAAGAACCACAAGGATATTTTCAAGATCATGGATGGCAGATCCGGAAGTTGATCACAAATTCATTTACAATTCTCAAGAGAAAGTCGACATCATTCAATCACCTTTCTTTGATCCCGGATTTGGGTCCGAAGGCACCGTCGAAGAATACATGGAGCGTATTCTCTATAGTTTGACGGACGTCATCGAAGAGCAACAAACTACAGGATCGTGGAAGATCGCAGGACGACCACCCGTCTCTCCAACTCCGACCAACTCTCTGTTGATCAAAATCGCCAGCATCCTCTGTCTTGCAGTGGCATCACTGGGCTTGCTAACCTTTGTCCTCCGCTAACCCTACTTCCAAAGAACGATCGAGAGGGAAACTTTAAGGTGAAAGTTCTAATTGTTAATTGGTGGATTATTTTTAATCGCATATTTGTTTACAATTTTCTTGTCATTATTTCGGATCGCTCTGTTAATCTAACGTGTAACTGCATGCTAGAAGCAAGCCAATAACTACAAAAACTGAAAATCCTAATTTAGTGAATCATTAATCTTATAATTTCATTGCAAAAATTAATTTCTTAATAAGATCCTGCAATTCCGTTGGTTGTTTCACATCATAGAAAGCTGCATAACTTTGTAGCTTAGCTATTATTTTCACATGACAGAGACCAGCTTTGACAAACAAGTTGGAAAGAGAAGTCCCATATACAGATTCTTTTTGTCAAAACGAAACATCCTTTAATGGAGTGTAATAATCTTCAAGAAGGTAATCAAATTCTTTGTTTCAAAGTTTTTTTTTTTTCTTTCTCAGGGAAGAGGAAGAAGTTGGAGGGAAACAATTAGTATGTTTTCCAAAGAATTAAATAATGAAGAAATTAGCAAGAATTTAATAAAATAGTCCTGGAATAAAATATAATATATTGAACAAAGCCAAATGAAATAAATTTGGAGAACTTAAAAATTACATAACATACGCAACTAATGTTCTCCTGACCTTGCACAAAGTAACTGAAATAAGATAGGAAGACACAACAAAATCAAAAGAACCTTACGTGTTGAGGGCACTTAAAGTCCTTTGAGGATCTTTTTTTCCAATTAACGCAAGTCCTGTGATAGGCATGTCGGCACAGCTGCACTGAACAAAGCACTTCATCACCCTGGCTGACAAATTTTTGGCACAACTGACATTGAACCTAAATCAGATGAAAGTGAGGAAATTCATACGCATGGAAGGCATCAGAATGTATGGAATGTAACAGCTACAGAACGAAGAAATGTCACTTCATATGAACTAGCAGAAAAAGGAACCAAAGGCTTATTTAGTGAAAACAGCCATTTTACTTCACATCTATTAATTCCCTCGAGAGAAAACATAAACTGTAAGAACAATAGAAATTTCTGGTATATCACCTTCACGGTCAAGTCATAATAAACGTTCAATGGAGAAAACAAGATAATTTTTAAAAGAATCCAATAGTAAACCATTTTTAACAAAAGAACACGCAAAATATAAAAATAAAAACGATCATAGCGGCCCTTAAAGGAGCAACTATTGTTTTTTGTTGCAACTCAGACGGCCTACCCGACAACCTAATCAACCCTTGAAAAGGACAAGTAGGGTTATAAGTTGGCAGTCAGTTGCCAACGTGACAACATAGTCATCCCTTAAAAGAGCGACTAGGAGTTTGTGTTTATTTAAAATGATTTACTATTTGATTGTTTTTAATTTTTTTTCAAAAAATAATTTACTTGATAAGTAAATGATAATGTGAAAATCCACCAAATTTACCACAAGCATTCAATTAAAAACAGCATTTACATTAATAAGGTACACGAAAAAATCAAAACAACTTCAGAGATCAATCAACTGCATTTCTCTTGTACGTGAAGGATAATTTAGAGAAAGGACAAAGTTATGATGTAGGAAAATTTCTTCACGAACAAAAACCATCAAACTAATTCTCTCAGTTGTCATTTGTTGTTTGCTATGGATTTAAAGCAGGATGTATGGTAAATCCTGCCATGGTTTTAAAGAACACATATTATGGCGAAGCTGAAGCCAGGATTTACCATACCCAAGATTAAAATCCTGCAAAAATCAGCATTAGAAGAGATTGAACTACCGAGATTTATGAATTTACTAATTCATTTTACTTACATCAAAACAATTTTCAAGACTTAACACAAATTAACTAGATTTGGAACTAAATAATTTCCAAATTTAACACTCCCAAGATTTCCTAAATCTGGATCCACAGGAGATACTAAATCCAAATTTATTTAAACCCTACTCATTTCCAAATAGCATAGATGGATCAAATAAGTTCAATGGTCACCCCTACAAGAAACCTGCAGGCTGCAGCTCAAAATCGTAAATAAATTTCCCAAAAATAAGAGAACTCTAACAATGTCTATTTTAACAACTAAAGCAAAAAATTTTAAGAAATCAATCTCATATGTTTGAGCCTAATTTTTTTGCCACTAATCTGACTTTATATTTTTCTAGTGAACTATTGAACTTATATTTTACAATACTAATTCACTACACCAACTTATTTGTTTCCCTTTAGTAAGTGTATCAATTCCCACATTTTATTATTTTGAAGGGTGTCCATTTCTTCTCTAATAGAATTATACCAATTCATATTATTTAAAACCTCAAAGATTATTTTAGGAATAAAATAATATGTAGGTTACTAAGAAATAATTGGTGATTATAGAAAAAAAGTGTATCAAAAAAATAAGTGTAAGCCATATTTAGTGGAAATTTTCATAACTATATTTGTAGGATCAACGGACTCAATTATAGGATTCATTGAGTTGGTTGAACTTGCATATATTGAGATGTATTTCTTCTTAAGTAAATATATAATCATCAAGTAAGAAGGGGTTCTGGTATAGGCTGGATTTAGATACGAGTAGATGGTTCTGGAATAGAATTGTTTGCAAATATGAGGAAGAAAAGAAAGACAATATCAGAGAAAAAACTTATTTGTAAATAATATTTCTTCTATAGATAAGTAATAATAAATTAGTGATCTTTTATTGAAAGTGACATCAACGAACACACATACCTTTCTCATAAAGGATGTTAGCAGTTGCACCCTATTTGAGAGCGAGAATAGCCAATATAAAATATGTTTAACAGCTCAAGAATAGTTTCCTTTATTTTAGGAAGGTGCATAAACAAAATCAACACTTCCAAATATTTTAGAAATAAGATGGTTTGACGTATTGAAATGGGAGAATGATTTATTTAGGATTTGTGTAGGACTATTTAACCCAAGGACCTTTCTAAGTAACCGATTTATAATGCAGCTTGTTGTTAAGCTTGCTTTCACCAAATATTATTTTGGGATATTTTTCTAAAAAAATTGAGTCCTTATGGTAACAAATAAGTGTTCACTCTTTGTTCAGCTACTCCATATTGTTGGGATAAATATGCACAAGAGAACTAATGTATTATATCCTTTTTTCTTGAAAGCATGAAAGAGAATGATTAAAATAATCTTTGGTATTATTGAATCCAACTCTTCATTTAAACACCAAATTGATTTTTATCAAGTTAAAATAGTGGAAAAGATTATACTTATATCACATTTGACTTCTAGTAAAAAGATCTATGACATGTGAATACAATCATCGATAAGGAACAAAGTACATAGCACAAAAGATGCTAGCTATAGAGAATAGTTCCCAAATTTCACTATAAATAAGAGAAAAGAGAATAAGGATTCTTGTGTTGTTCGCTGGAATATTAGTATAGTTGTGTTTTGTTAGTGCACAAATCATAATGAAATTCTTCAATATTCATTTATTTGAATAATGAAGGAAATGTGATTTTGAGAAAATAAAAGAAAAAATGGCTTAGCTATTGAAGTCAATTTTTAGCTATTGAAGTCAAATTTTTTCTTTATTGGATTTAAGGGTTTCTAAGAAAAGACATGATATTGATTGTTATACAAAATTTCTTAATCATTGTAATCCTCAAGAATGTAGAGATCAACACTTTTTCTAATGCTTCTAGCAAGCCGTTTTATTTTTTTATGCCTTATAAATGACTCAATTTTATTCTTCCCTTCAAGAAACTACAAACCAACCACGATCAATTTAGATCATTCTTTTCATTCAACTGGTATGTTGAATTGATGTCTTGCAACTCTCATGTTAGATAAATATTGAATATCTCTGACACCGGCTCCGACTCCTCGAAGGGTGGCTGCTGGTGGCGCTGAGCTTGATGTCCCCGGGTCTCTGTTTATTCCTTCGCCGGTTAGCCTGATAATTCGAAGCAACCTGCAGGCGAGAAAAGGAACAGAGGAAAACAAAAACAGAACAATCTGTTTTGAAAAATACCAAATGGAAAACCTCCTTTATTTCCAGAGAACGAGACTATATATACATGAAAGAAAGAGGCTAAGCACTGTAGCCTAATATAGCTACAGGAAATGGAAATTTATAAAAAAACAAAGGTAGCCGTTAGCTCCTGCGTCATTCACCCGGGGTGGCAAGGCAGTCTTCCAAGTCATAGTGAGGAGTTAGATCAGACACGTTGAAGATTGCTGACACATTATAGTTCCCTGGAAGCTCGATCTCATATGCATTGTCGTTTATCTTTCTGAGGACTCGAAACGGTCCGTCAGCCTTGGCTTTAAGTTTTCCGAACGGCCCAGAGGGAAATCGCTCCTTCCTCAGCTTTATCCAGACCTTATCGCCGACTTCAAAGATGAATGGCCGTTTGTGCTTATTGGCTTGTTTTTGGTATTTGGCATTCTGTTGGGCGATCCGAGTTTGCACTTGTTGGTGTAGCCGTTTAATTTCTTCACTGCGCTGCTCTCCTTCCTGGCTGTAAGAGGAATTTGACAATGCGGGTAATAGATCTAAAGGAGTCAGTGGATTATTACCATAAACAATTTCAAACGGACTGTGTCCCATCGACTGGTTGGGGGATCGATTGAATGCGAACTCAATTTGAGGGAGAATGAGATCCCATTGCTTCAAGTTCCGGCCTACAAAACAACGCAGTAGATTCCCTAAGCTGCGGTTAACAGTTTCAGTCTGTCCATCGGTTTGCGGGTGGGCGGCGGAGCTGAACTGGAGTTTAGTGCCTAGCTTCCCCCATAGTGTTCGCCAAAAGTGACTGGGGAATTTGACGTCTCAGTCGGAAACAATGGTTCTCGGAATGCCATGGAGACGTACTATTTCTTTGAAGTAGAGGTCACCAATGTGGGTGGCATCCAATGTTTTGCTGCAGGCGACGAAATGAGCTATCTTCGAGAATCTGTCGACGACGACCATCACTGAGTCCTTATTTCGCTGGGTCCGTGGAAGTCCGACGATGAAGTCCATGCTAACATCATCCCATGGTCGAAGAGGAACAGGTAAAGGAGAGTATAGTCCGGCATTGGTGAGCGATGTTTTCGCTCTCTTACAGGTTTGACAGCTTCGAGTATACCGACCCACGTCCTTCTTGATGGATGGCCAATAGAATCTTTCGGCTGTGAGTACCAGCGTTTTGTCACGACCAAAGTGGCCTGACAATCCTCCATCGTGACACTCGGAGATCACGGACAGCCTAAGGGAACAAACAGGAAGACATATACAGTTATGCCTGAAGAGATAACCATCCTTGATAAAGAATAATTGATACGGGGCGTGCTGGCAACGTTCCCAAATCTTTCCAAAATCTGGGTCGGTGGGATACAGATCTTTAATGGCTTCAAAGCCAACTAATTTCGACTGAACTGTTTGCAGTAAAGTGTAACGCCGACTAAGAGCATCGGCCGCCTGGTTTTCCTTCCCAGCCTTGTGTTTGAGCAAGAATTGAAATGCCGCCAAGAATTCTGACCACGTGGCATGCCGCCCTCTTAGTTTCTTCTGGCATTCTAAAAATTTCAAGGCGGCGTGATCTGTGAACAGCACGAACTCTTTGCATAATAAGTAGTGGCTCCAGTGGTGCAAGGCTCTCACAATGGCATAGAACTCTTTATCGTATGTCGAATACCGTTGCCGGACCTCGTTAAATTTCTCACTGAAGTATGCGATGGGCTGACCTTCTTGACTGAGGACCGCTCCTATGCCCAGGTTGGATGCATCACACTCCACTTGAAACAGTTTGTTGAAATCGGGCAGGCGTAAAACAAGAGTAGAAGTCATTTTCTGTTTTAGCTCATTGAAACTATCCTGTGCCGCAGTAGTCCAATTGAAGACACTAGACTTCAATAATTCGGTGAGAGGAGCTGCAATGGAGCTAAAGTTAGCTATGAACCGGCGATAAAACGATGTCAGCCCGTGAAACCTGCGCACCTCAGTGAATGAATTGGGGATAGGCCATGTGAGAATGGCGGTGATCTTGTCTGGATCTACTTCAATGCCAGTGGCGGAGAGAATGAATCCCAAGAACCGAATCCGGCGATCTAAAAACTGGCATTTCTTCGGGTGGCAATACAGTTTTTGTTCTTCCAGGATTTGCAACACCTGCTCCAGATGTCTATAATGTGTATTCAAGTCGGGACTATAGACTAAGATGTCGTCAAAATAGACGATTACAAACTTGCTTAGCAGGGGTTGAAAGATTTGGTTCATAAGGCGCATAAAGGTGCTGGGCGCGTTCGACAACCCAAATGGCATGACCAGCCATTCATATAGCCCATCACGCACTTTGAAGGCAGTTTTCCATTCATCTCCTTCCCGGACGCGGATCTGATGATACCCGCTCCTTAAGTCAAGCTTGGAGAAAATGGTGGCTCCTTGTAGCTAGTCAAATAGATCGTCGATGCGGGGAATAGGAAATCGGTAGCGCACCGTGATCTTGTTGATTGCGCGACTGTCAACACACATCCGGAAGGATCCATCCTTCTTTGGCACGAGCAAAGCTGGTACTGCACAAGGACTGACGCTGGGCCGTATATATCCTTTGGCCAGCAATTCTTCCACTTGCCGCTGTAATTCTTGATGCTCGTCCGGTCGTAGCCTGTAAGGTGGGCGGTTTGGTAAGGTGACTCCAGGTTGGAGATCAATGGCGTGCTGAATTTCACGCAGGGGAGGGAGTCCAGCCGGTAATTCTTCTACCCAGACCTCTCTGTATTTGTCAAGTAACGGTTGAAGCTCTTTCGGGACAGGCTTAATGCTCTTCTCAGCTTCTTTAATCAATACGAGGTATCCTCCTTTCGCCTGTTGGATGGCCTGATTGCATTCAGTTTGAGTTACCAACAGCTGTTCATGCATAGCTTCAAGTGGATGTTTAAAAGGAAGGAGCACAATGGTTTCGTGGCCTTGCAACAACGTATAAGTGTTGGCCTCCCCATCATGTACTGTTTTTCGGTCGAACTGCCACGGTCGTCCCAGAAGTAGATGACAGGCGTCCATGGGCAACACATCGCACCACACTTGATCCTTGAATCTGCCAATAGAAAATTGAACAAGACATCATTTTGTTACCTCAATGGTGTTGCCTTTCTGAATCTAGGATAATGCATAAGGCTGGGGATGCTTCTCGGTCGGAATCTGCAATTTTTCCACCATAGTGCACGAGGCTATATTCTCGCAACTGCCGCTGTCAACAATAACTTGACAAACTCGATCTTGGATGGTACATCTAGTACGAAACAAACTGTGGCGTTGCTCCTGCTCTTCTTTCTGATTGCTCATCAACAATTTTCTAAGGACTAATAGGTTTCCATCATTAGCCTCAATAATAGTGGGATTACTCATGGTTTTTGATTCCACTGTATTTCCTGTTGAGAAATCCTCGCTGGGGTCGGTATCATCTTCTAGGATAGTGACGATTCTTCTCGTGGGGCAGTTGGAGGCAATGTGGCCAAATCCCTGACACTTGAAGCATTTTCGTGCTGGGGTGCTGCTGCCCGTGGTTGGGGAAGTCCAGGTCCTACCCAGAGATTTCTCCTGCGGTTTTTCTTGCGATCCGGACGTTCCGCCTTTGAATGACTGGGTAATCTTTTCTCCTGCCAGTTCTTTAAATCTGTTTGCGGTTCCCTTAGAAGAGCTCTGTTGTCGTTCTACTTGGAGAGCTAGATTAATAGCGTCCTGCAGGGTCCAATGGGGCTGTAATTGAACTACGTGGGCGATTGCAGGTTGGAGACCTTCCAAGAACCGGGCAATGGTGTTCTCCACGGGTTCGTTGAGATCGCATTTCAGCGATAGCTGTTCAAATTCAGCTACATATTCTTCGACCGACCGGTGATGCTGTTGAAGGCAGTGAAGCCTCAAAAATAAATTCCGGCGATGATAGTCGGTGATGTACTTACGTTGCAACTCCTTCATTTTCTCCCAGCTGGTAATCTTGCTTCGCCCTTCCCTTGCTCGGTTGCGTTTTAAATTCTCCCACCAAAGAGAAGCACCTTTCTTCAGTTTAATAGCTACAAGCTTAACAATCCGGTTTGTTGGAATTTCTTTAAACTCAAGAACTCGTTCGACCGTATGCAACCAATCCAAGAATTCATCAGGATCCATTCGTCCTTCAAATTCGGGTAGATCAATTTTAATTCCGCTGTCAACTCGATCCGGGGGACGGTCTTGCCGTGGTCTTCTTGGACGAACTTCATCATCGCTTGAAGTTTCTTGATGGAAAGGATTAACCTCCTCTTCTTCGAGTCGGCTTCCGGCCTCTTGCTGGTCCCTTCTTGCAAGTTCTTGTTGCAGCCTCTGAACTTCCCTTTGCAAATCTTCAACCACCATATCGCGCACCGGGCGCTGGCGGTTCCTCCGTGGCGGCATCTTGCCAGCTCTGATACCAGATGACACCGGCTCCGACTCCTCGAAGGGTGGCTGCTGGTGGCGCTGAGCTTGATGTCCCCGGGTCTCTGTTAATTCCTTCGCCGGTTAGCCTGATAATTCGAAGCAACCTGTAGGCGGGAAAAGGAACAGAGGAAAACAAAAACAGAACAATCTGTTTTGAAAAATACCAAATGGAAAACCTCCTTTATTTCCAGAGAACGAGACTATATATACATGAAAGAAAGAGGCTAAGCACTGTAGCCTAATATAGCTACAGGAAATGGAAATTTAAAAAAAAAACAGAGGTAGCCGTTAGCTCCTGCGTCAATCTCAATTACAACATAACCTGAGAACAAGGCTACGCGAGGATTATTATTGTTGTCATGGAGAGAAATCATGATTATGTTTAAAAGAAATAAGAAAAAAGGAAATAAATGCAACAATGCAGTGATAAATGCTTTTCAATAGTGGACCCAATTTATGGCATTGCAATTATGAAAGCTGCGGCAATAGGAAATGTAGGTGGCAATGTAACAAGAACCCTGCCAATATGAAAAAAAAATAAGAAAAAATAAGAGATTTCAACAACCAAGGCCTTAGGATTGTGGTAATATAATGATAAAGGCAATTCTAATGGAAATATAAGGAATCTAAAAAGTCAAAGGCTCTAATATCACGACAACAATTAGAGATAAATGATTGAGTAGGCAGAGTAATAATTATAGAATAATTGCAATAGTCCACATTATTGATGAGTAGACAACAAGGATACTGTAGATTAATGATGAGGAACTGAAGACGAAGGAAATGTTAAATCACTTTTGATTTATTTGAATTTGCTTGCAGGGCAGAAAATCCTTATGAATTCTAAAACATCAAAACATATGATAAAATCTACAAACCTTTTCATTTTTAAAGCAAGTTTTATAGCTCAAGCACCCCAATGAACCCTTGCTATATCAAAAATGTTCGTCGGTCACAACTCATGCCAATTACAACTGAAAATCCAAAAACAAATGCATAGCCATTAAATTTCCACGATCCAACAGAATTCCAGCAATCCATCCCATCTCGATAATAATACAACCATTCCATCGATTAACGACAAAAATACTTCAATACAACTGGGAAGGAAAACAAAAACAAAAATAAATCAATGGAGCAGAGAGCAAAAAGAGAAATCACCATTTTAAAACCATTGTTGAGGAAAGGCAAAACGCAATCCTTCTCAAGAACTCCGGCATCCATCTTTCTCTTCATCCACGCTTGCACGGGTTCCACCAACGAATTCGCTGCGGCCGACCGCCGGCCTCCGCCACGTCGCTCCCTTCGCAGCGCTCCATATGGTCGACGCGCTGAGATCGACAGCCGAAGCCGCCGTCTCCACTCGAACTCGACGCCAGCGTTCGGAGGGGCAGAGTCCGGCAGGAAGGAGGAGGTAGAAGTAGAGGGGCAGTCTAGTTCGAAGTGCGGGAGAGCGGGGAGGAGGAGATTGCTGAGATCCGGCATGGGAGGGAAGAAGAAACCCTAAGGGAATGGAGAAGGAGAAAGGAGGGATTTTGAAATTTTATTATTATTATTGTAATTATTTATTTGTGCTGTTACTTAAGTAGAGAAAACCTGAGCAAGGGAGGGAACATGCTGACAGCCAAAACTGAAGCGGTCAAGTGAGCAAATTTTGGCGGGAAAGAAGGGGCGGATAACTGAGATATGTATTTTTTGGGGGAGGGAGAAATGACTGATGAGATTGGGATATGAACAATAGCAATTATAAACTGTACTAATACAAAAATATATTATTGATAATCAAGTGATTAAATTAATAAACTACTATTATAATTGTAAATAATAACTATTCATTGAATAATAATAATTTTGAAAATTTTATGGTGATAAAAAGAAAATATTCGTCCTAAATTTTTTAAAAGATTTTTCCCAAAAAATATATTTGTAAAAGATTTGTGCACAAAAATTAAAAGAAAAAAATATGTGGTACTAAAGTTGTTTTTTTTTTTTTTTTGCTTTTAAAGATTAATAAGATTAAAAAAATCACATAATTCAATTTAGATAATCCACAATATACTTGGAATTATATAAGTCAATTATTATCCACAATTCGGGATGACAACATTATAAAATTGGGAATATAAACTTGGAAAAATTATTATGTCCGGACAAAACACCGAGTGTACTGAGTGCGGTACCGAGCGCCCAAGTGACGTGGCGCTTTGTTATTGGTCATTGGACGCGTTCGGAATCTGGACATAATAATTACTTCATAAACTTGACTTCATGTAGTTGTAAAAGCAATTGTGGAGAAGCAGTGGAGGTATGATGATAGTAAACAATCAATGCTAATTGATCAACAATAATCAAACGATAATAGCCATACAATAATGATCAAATGATGATAATCAGACAATAATGATTGAATGATTGTAGTCGGATGATGGAAATGTATATTAATGTCAAGCAATGGTGGTCAAACAGCAATGAGCGGGTGATGGCAGGCAAATGATAACTATTGGACAAGGCGATGGTCAATAGTTATTATCAGTGTCGAGCGTTTGGTGGAGTTTTTAGAGTTCTTCGTATCTTCAACCTATTTAATCTCAAGTCTATGTATATTTTATATTGAGAATGGGGGTATATTTATAGTATTTTAGAAGTTATATTTTATTTAATGCGCAAAAAAAAACTTTAAAATTCTATTTGATAACTCATATTAAATCATTTAATCATAAATCATTCATTCAACATTTAAGTGCCATAAAGACCTCGAAATTAAGTGATCTTTAACTCATTCAATTATATTCTTTAAGCCTTTTAATTTATCTATGATAGATGTAAGATTTGAAGATCTTTTAGTTATTTAATAAATGTCTCAAAAATTCAACCATACTTTATGTGTTTTATTTGGCTTATATGATCTTAGATCATACACCTTTGGTGTTGTTAAGTTCATCTTATCGAGATGTTCAATTTAACTATTAGTTTGATGAAATTAGAGTTAAAGTTGTCTTAAATTTAATTTAAAAAATAAATATAAATAATGCATTGAGATTCATACCAATCAAGCAAAAATTCAAATAAAATTACACACTACATAACTACTAAAATATCGAAATACTGAAAATAAACCCATCAAAAGTTTTTTCATTCTGTCAAAATAAATATCTGCATTATAGTACATTGCTACAATCAAGAGCTACAAAACTATAAATTTAACTATACACGGCTGTGTAAAAATCAAAATAAATATCAACTCAGATATGATCCTGAACTACTAATCAACAATCTCCTTCCCTTTCCTAGATCCTAAAATACAAGCAAATCACAGTGAGTTATAGCACCACAGTAGGCCACACAACCGATCAAAATTTTTAAATATTATTTTATTAAGTATTTTTACTTAATATTTAAAAGCAATTAAATATAATCTAATAAATCACTGTTTGTACTGAGAAATGAAAAAAAAAAAAAAAACAAAAACAAAACAAAACATAACAGTTATCCAATTTATTTAAATATCAATACTAACCACATAATTAATAGAATAGTTATATATCACAAAGCAGTACATATCACATTCCGGTCTCAAACAAAATCTCAAATGATTTTGGCCCCTTATATCCATGTTTTGTGCCTCCAGAATATGCCCGTAGGCTCTAAAACATAACTTATAACCACTAGAACATATCTTATAGACACTAAAATATGCTTTGACACAGATAGATCTCAAAAGATTCTGGCCCTTACAGCTCTGAGCATGTGTTTTTCAGTCATATAAGCATATATTTCATCACATAGTGTCAGTAAAAAAAAACACATATCAGAATTGCACAATATTCTATAAACGTAGGCAGCTAAATTTCTTTTTGAGCAATTTTTTACCAGTGCGAAGTTATACGCGTTTTTCACTAATGAAAATATAAATTTAATGAGAAAAAATTTGTATTTTTGAAATATGAGATAGACATAATGTCAACTACATCAATATGGATAACTTTTGTAATTAGGCCGAAGCTGAAAACAATTCAAAGTGGCTCAAAACAAGATTTTCCCTCTTCAAATCTCTCTTTCTCTCTCATGTTTAGCCACCTGCGAGGTTAAAATGATCCGATTAATGTAATTAGGCTATAGAAAAGATATTTAAAAAACAACGAGTTTATTATATTCAACTATTTGGTTGAAATTAATTAGAAATAAATATAGACTATAAACACCGAAATACTTAAATTGAGAATTTCTAACAAAATTATCACTTTTAAAAGCATATTTTTCAGCCACAAACAAACAAATGAACGCTTAAAACATCGTCTTAAGCGTCTGGACGGATTTCTCTCTGCTTTTTAAAATAATTTTTTAGCACAATTTTTTTTTATTAAAAATCTGTTTTAAGAAACATAGTGAAAGTCATCCCAAATGAAACCTTAATCACAACAATATGCTTAAATTAAAATTGTGAAAATGTTGAGAGCCAGAAGAAGAAATACTGAGAATTGTTGCTTCCAGGAGTATTTGCGGCGGTAGAGAAATATAAAGTTTAACGTCTTAGCGTTGTACTAAAATCCGGCACGCAATCAGATAAGAGAGAGTGTAGCGTTCATAAGAGACACCAAGATTTTTACGTGGAAAACCCTTGAATATGGGAAAAAACCACGGGGTCTAGTTTAAATGAATCCACTAGTATTTTAGTTGATTACAAATGAGGTACTTCCATAGGAGAACGTTTTAGCTTGATGTATATCTTATAGAATACATTATATGGTGAGAATACAAATCACTATTGATGTGTTTGCTTGGTCTAAAGGACTGTAGACGGTGGGCGATATAAGTCGGAAAGATCGTAGTCGGCGGGCAATGGAGGTTGGAAGGACTGTAGTGGCGGGCGACGTAAGTTTGAAGGACCGTAGTCGGCTGGCGACGGAGGTCGGAAGACTGTAGTCGGTGGGTAACGTAAGTCTGAAGGACCGTAGTCGGCGAGCGACGGAGGTCGGAAAGACGACGTCTAGTAGAGGACCATCAATGAACATAAATCCAACATCAAGTAGATGTCTGGCGAAAGTCCGACAATTGGCAGAAGTCCAGTGTCAAGTAGAAAATTGGAGACGAGCGGAGGTCCGACGTCGGGTAAAAGTCTGACGCCAAATGGAGGCCAAGGAGAATTCTAACTTTAGATGGTATTCAGGCAAAACTCCTACATTACTTGGAGTTCAGGTGAAACCCCAGCATCACTTGGAGAGGTCGGGCGGAATTCCGACGTCATTCGAACATAATTCTGGCGACGGTGGTTGAGGAGTTCTTCCCTCACAATCTTCTTCTCTTCTTCTCCTCCTTCCTGCTTCCCTCCCACTCTAAAGAGAAATGAGGAGTCTATTTATAAATTTTCTAGAGTGGCATGGCCCATAAATAGGCAAGATATCAAGGGTAAATGTGAAGTGATTGAATGGACAGTCAATACTGAATCCCTTGATCATGCACCGTTTATCAGGCATTTGAAGGCCTTAATGATGTCGGAATTTGGCGATCTTGGGCTCGTTGGATTCGTCTCATCGAGCCGCTCGATTCGACTATAAGCTTGCAAAGTTTGGAAACCGTTTGGTAATCCAAATTATGGTTCGAACCTTCCAACAACGCTTCTGATCCTTGATTTGGACTCATTTGGGCTCAGATTGAGTTGAATTTGGTGTCGTTGGGTTTGTATTTCCAAGACGCTCAGTTTGACTGTAAGTTTGCTGAAATCAAAGTTCAGATGCTCTCGGATTTAATTTTGAAAGTTTCCAACTTGAATTTTGCTCGACATTCGTGCCCGATCAAGATAATTTTTGCATGACGTATCAAGAATAAATTATAAACTCAACACTAGGGGAAAACATGAGCTGAGGGTCCTTTATTTCACATATTTGGAATCCACAAGGAGAACTATAAAAGCATGGAATAAGAAAATGTATGACTCTCCCACTTGATTATTCTTCATTTACCAACACGTTTGTTTTGATCGATGAAGATGCACAAGATCCCCTAAAGTGGGAATTTTTATTGGGTGCGAACACCAGACGGAGAGAACCATCCAATTTTCTCTCTGTCTATAGTAAAGATACAGTCAAAATGCAGCTGCTACAGTAATTGTGCTTTTACTGTAGACAGAGAAAAAACCGGAAGATTCTCTCCCGTCCACTGTCCGCACACAATAATCTCTCCTAAAGTCGACCAAGTGTTGGAAAGAAAAATAGCATCAAAATAAAATTTTGAACGTACAATAACAACAATTACATGTAGAGCATTGACAAACGTCCAAATTGAAATTAAATTACTTGAAAATATTACAAAAGCAAGTTTCGAATGGATTCTTTTTCAAGTGGGCAAGGCTTCAGGTTGCTTGCCGATTCACTTTAAGGTATGGCAGTGCACCAATTACATTATCATAATCACTCTTGTCCACTGCATGCTGCAAGCAAGAAAATGAATCAGAAGGCATTCAAAGAAAGAATCTACTGTTTAAAAATGGTGGCTTGGAACAAATTCAAAAGCATATTAGAGATCATACAAACAAAGGCTTCGTTTGGGACAGCTTTTTTGTTGGTTTCTAAAACAGCTTTTCAGTAAAAAAAAAAAAAATTGAACAAAAAAACCGTCCTTAAAAGCAGTAAAAAAGCTGTCCCAAACCAAACCAAAATGATCCATCATATATTCATAGTGTAACAATAGTGACAGTACATAAAAGATATACAACAGAGATTCTCTCTTGGAGTTGTTTTGATAAGTAGGATTTCTGGTTTTTTTTTTAAATGCTGTTTTGTCAAAATGCTTTTCTCAATTCCATAAGCTATAATATAAAGAAAATATAAACATATATTTCAGTTGAATGAAATGCTTTCTCTAAAAAACAAAAGAATTGTGTCTCAAGGCAGGATGGACTCTGTCATGTATTCTCAATACTGTAAGTACTGAATTCGAGTCTAACAGGATATTAAAATTCAACAATTAACATTCGTTCCTGACGTAATCCTCCACTTTTCTCATCCAGGACTTGGGACCTGACAACGACAGTGTTCAAATTTTAGCCTTGTACCAAAACACCCATATATGAATACTCCAATATTCATTCCTATTAAGTCTATATGAGATGTCAACTATATTTAGAACAAATTTATTGCACTACTATCACCGATGCTAGCATTGACTTATCCCTTTTCCTTTTCCACATTACTTCTATCAACTCATCACTATAACTCCTCTGCCTCCATTATACAACTATAAACCACTTAAGACAACTTTATACCACCTTATTATGGATTATAAACTTCCATCTATTATTATAACCAGAGAAATTTCCTTTTTTTTTAATATTGGGTTAAGAATTAGAACTATGATTTTGTAAGCCACTAATGAGAATTTTGAATGACAGTTTCATTAATCAGCTCGGTATATGTCCACATGAAATGCTTAATTGACAAGCTTCACCCTTTTTTTTTTGCACATATACGAGGGCACTGTACACCATTTTGAAAAAAGGCTCCTAGGAAATTTTGCAATGACAACCTAAAAAGAAAAGACAACTCAAAAGGAAATAGAAGCCTATACAAACCTACATAGTGGCCGAAAAATAACATAAAGACAACTCTCCAAGTAGTATAAGTACAATCATAATTAAGAACCCTCGGGCTTAGCTCAAGAAAATCAAAGTTGGTTCCTCTCATCCAACACAAGAACGGTCCAATTTTTTATGATCTCACTCACAAGCTCCTCTTTAATGATCAAACTTCCGAGCATTGATCTTAATTACGACTTAATATTATTGATAAGAGTTGCAGTACACTTCTTCCAATCAAAGATCCTTCATATTTCTTTCAATCCAAGAGTGCATTATGTTAAAACCATGGCTATTTTGGTGATCAATTTGACACTTTTCCCATTCCATCATATGTGCTCTTGAATTCTATTGATTGCGTTGGTCATATTGTCAGTAAAGCATCTTTGAAACTTACAGCACCCGAAGATTCATATTACAGCACATGTAATGAAATCATAGTTAAAGAACAGGACAGCAGCAAATGGGAAGGGAGCACAAAATACAAAAAGTTTTATCCATTACAATATCATGCTTTCATAGCATGCTTTAGTTTCAAGCTTATCAGTTAGCGCCATCCATAATGTCATCACCAGCTTAGGGATACAGTTATGATAGAAAACACTAGTAGAACTCAAGTGAATCCTCCCAAGGATGCAAATTCAGCGACTTTCCACCACACAATCTCACACAAATCACAAATAACAGCAAGAATGACATAGCAATAGAGAAGAAAACAGCAAGATACAAGTGATCCTCTATTCGAGAGGAGGATCAATCTCTCCAAAACTCTCTAGACGCCGCTAGAGCCCAAGAACACCAAAAGCACTCAAAATTCAGCAAACAAAAAGATGCCCTAACCATAATACAAACTTCTAATTAAAGAAAACATTAAAAAAAAATGCAAAAGGACTAAATAGCCCTCACACTAACTCTCTTTGGTAGTGGACCCCAATCCAAGGGGACTGGATTTGGAGCCTGCGCGCCTGTATTGACTGGGCCAGCCCAAGGGTTGGGCCAGTTGGACCGGTCCCTCGTAGACTGGTCTCTGCCTATCAAGTTACCATGCAAAACAAATTTTACCCATTCGATGGGAAGTAGCTTTTGTGTAAGAGGTAAGTGTTGGCAAAGGTGAACTTGCCATTAGAGCAAAGTTTAAATAAAAATTAATCATTTTCATACATGATAATTTCTCTAATAAAAGGCAAAAGGTGAGACAAAACCCAATAAATGTCGATGGGAGTACCCGGAGTACCAACAACCATCATTGCTATGAAATTCACTGATGCAAATGAACTCTGATATCCAAAGATATACCTCATTCTTTAAACATCGACCACCTTCCCTAAAGACTTACAATAAGATCCCAAAAGATGGACCAATTAAATTAAGCCTCAATTTGAAGCCAAAGCCTTTCCTTTAGTAAGCAGCTCCCTAAAAATGAAGATTGGGAGTTAGACGAAGTATATTCTCTGATTTTCTTAAGAATCTCATCTCATGTATGATTTTCCAACAAAGTTCGAACTTCGAACATAACAGTGGTATCGCAGGTATTAATAGAATGGATGTGTAAGCCACCCACCAACTTAGGTTTATAAATGTCTTTCCAAGCAATGAATATTAGTTGCAGAGCATCATTAATAAAGCGAAGAACAGTTGTTTCAACTATATTCACAATGGAAACTACAAGGTGAAAGAAATGAAACCAGTATGGGCTCACGGCAGGGAGGGTTGATCTCACAACTTGGAAGTCCCTTGCTTTAGAAAGAAGCTTCTTTTTCCAGTCTGCAAGCCTTTAATTAATTTTATCAATGAGTGTTTGTCGAATGGTTTTGGAGATTTTACCAATAAAAAGAAGCAAACCAAGGTTGGCGAGCAGGAGATCAACAGACTGAATATTGATTCTCCAAGACAGACCATCAAACTTTTTGGCAACCTTTGATAAGTAGAATTACAATTTTTTCGGTTGATAAGAAGACCAGTAAAGGAGTTTATCTTCTCAAACGTATCCTTCTAGAATCTAGATATCAATATTACCTGCGGTGGCTTTGGCAAAGGCCAAGAGGTTATCAAGAAACAAAATACGGAGCATTGTGTGGGAAATCTTCAATTGGATGTAAGCTACACTAAAAAACAACCTTAAAAAAGATCAGTTATCACCAAGGTGAAAAGATGTGGAGACAGTGAGTCAAACTCGTCTTAAACCTCTGCTACACTTAATATAACATTTCAGATCGCCATTATTTTGTATAAAGAAATGACGTTTTTTTATACGACCCTTAATCCAACTAAAGAACTTGCTTGGAAAACCCTTAACTTCAAGTTGCATAAATAAAGTTGTGGTATAGAACATCAAATCCCTTTGCTATATCAAGCTTGATGCACATGGAAAGAGAGATTGAAGTGAAGTTGAATTTTTTGATAAATTCATCTCCTAGTGTATGTTGTCTTTGATCGATCTCACCAAAATGAAGGTCCATTGGCAATCACTAACAAGTATCATCATCAATAGTTTCAATCAATTAGTAATTCTATTGATAAATTTAAAAAGACATTTTTAAAAGAACTTAGACCAAAATCAAAGAAGGAAAGAGTCGGTTGCTTCTTTGGTCACTTTGAATGTCCATTGGCAATCACTAACAAGTATCATCATCAATAGTTTCAATCAATTAGTAATCCTATCGATAAATTTAAAAAGACATTTGCAAAAGAAGTTAGACCAAAATCAAAGAAGGAAAGAGTCGGTTGCTTCTTTGGTCACTTTGAAAATCCTTGCCATGTTCCAGATGTTTTTTACCATGACAACAAAATCTTTAGATATTATAGAAACGCCATAAGAAAAAACTTTGCAATCCATTATTCACTCGAGTCCTCTTTATAAGAGTTGACTTTGTATATCAATTCTTCAATCACATCCAAATTCATTGTTCACCAGGAAAGCCTTAGCTTCAATACGCTTATGGGAGAATATTATAATAGGTGAGTGTTGATGAGAACAATTGAAAAGGATGTTGTTAAAGTATTTTACTATAACCTCCTTACTTTCTCCTTCCCACTCTTTTCTTCATCATGCGATGTAAGAATCTCGTGTTACCATCAAAAAATTGCAGAGTGAATAAATTCTCAATTTCTATTTGCATCTAGCTTTTTCAACATAGACGAATCTTTTGAATTCAGCACAAACCTTCTTTTCCAAACATAATTAACTTAAAGTGGCATAATTTCCATGCTGAATTTGAATGTCTTCACGTTGTTGCTTCTGAAGGGAGACCTGATCTTTATGTTTAGCAACTCCAGTTCATTGATCTGAGCTTGTAAAAAAAATCTAACCATAGGGTCCCCATAAGGTCTACTGTTCGAACCAATACTAAAAACATTAAAAAAAAAATAAAAATCCTGCTCCTAGGCCCAATAGTTACAAAAAATTGAAGTGTATTTTCAACAAAAAAAATCTCTCAATTTTAGTAATAATGATAGGTGAGTGGTCTGAGACATTAGAAGGAAGAAAAATGTGCTTTAAAATTTTGAAGTAGATCTATCAAATCAATATTTCCAAGAGCTCTGTATAATTTGATAGAAACAGGCTTACTATCATAATTGTTAGACCAAGTGAACAAGCTCCCCATCTGAGAAAGGTCTTCAAGACCATGGTTCAAGGCACATTCAAAGAATCACCCAAATTTTCAATGGATTGTGTGAGTAGCATAAAAGTATGTAAGAAGAAAATGATTACCATCCATGATCGGCACCCTGCAGTGGATAACTAATGTGGATTTAACAATGTCATCAATACTAATCATTTTTGCATCCCATTCGATCATGATTCAACTAGTGCTCAAGTTAGGCTTATGAATAATTCCTTAATTTTGAAAGAACTTGTTTATCTTATCAAGGTTTTTAGCACGGTTCATTTTATGTTCAACATTCCAACATATTTTAATGTTGTGGACAGAAAATCTCTCTACAACTTATTTTCATGGCACCTAGTATGCCTCTAACATTCCAACAAAGAAGAACTTCCATTTATTCAAGTGGCGAGTCCTCTACACGGCTACACCTTCACATTCATAATCTTCTAAGACTTCATATTTATTGATTATTGGAAATTTCTGTCTTGAGACACCAATTTCTTCCTTACATGAAAATTCCCCCAACCCTTAATAATTCATATTTGAGCAAATGAGTAGGTTTTTAAGAGACATGTTGACAGCACCTAGACTATCTTCTTTACCGTTACGGGTTGCCCGTTTCTTCTTTTAAATTATCTGTCATCTTGCAATCAAAAATGGTTGCATGCATGCAAACAGAAAAGACCGTCACTATTTATTTACCGATGATTCTTCAATGGGAGTGGATTAACTTGAAGGATTGACATTGTTCCATTTTGGTCTCCATATTTGCACTTATTGCTTTGAGTTTTTCAATATTTGCTTCTACAAGCTCACTTAAATATTGTTCTATGTTCTGGAAGAAAGAATTAGACGTATAGTATTAGTTGGCTTCCATTCGCAGACAATTTGTGGATGAGTGATGTTATGATGTGATTATATAACTAAATAAATTTTAAATATCCTCAGATTAATAATATAGTATACTACTTTTATTAATATTATATATTAAGAAAAACTAAAGGTGACTTTCACAACCTTGTAAATGAAAAACATTTCTCATCTTCATGGAGTAGAATTCTATCAAAAAAAAACCCTCTAGCAAAAGAATATAAAAACTGTTTCCTGGTTGACTAGAACTTGAATAATTCTTGATGGGTTCATGCTCTCCCGAGGGCAACAATGGCAATTAATAATGCCAGCTTATCAGAGATGACCAAAAACATACTAGACAAAAAACACATCACCAGCTAGTCATATAAAGGGATATTCCCTTCTCAGTTCAACTTTCATTTTCTGGCAAAAAAATTCATGAAAACATTCAGAAAAACAAGCTTTATAAAAGCACTAGCATGAGTAGCAGGTGCAGATGAAACATAAACTAAATAAAGTTTGCTTGAGTTCTACTAAATCAGTACTGGTATAATTAAGAAGGAAATGCAAAGAAATAGAGCATTCCACAGAACAAAACCTGCAGCTCATAATAAAGCTGTGGCAAATAGCCGATGGAAGAGATAATTAATGAAGGATTCAAGACAAATGTGCATACCATTTTGGAAAGCCTCAATTTCCGCTTATTATTCTTCTTCGCAAGGAGATGCTGCTTCCCCGCTCGCCTCCGGACTATCTTCCCCCTACCTGTAACCCTAAAACGCTTCGCCGAAGCCTTCAGATTTCATCCCTCGCAAAATAAAAACAGTTTATTCTCAAAATCGCGACGAGAGCAAAAAATAAGAGAGAAAATGAGGTACCTTGTGGGTCTTCATCTTGTATCCCTTGGTCGCGAATACTGTGAAGGCTGAAGGCTTCGGAGTATCGATGAAGAAATGGGGATGGATTGGAAGGGAAGTAAAGAGGACTTTGGAGGAACTAAGACTTGTCTTCATGCTAAACGAGGTAGGAGATGGGGAGAGGCGAATTGCATGGAAGCGTCTGAGGGCTTGTGAGGAGAAAGGCAGATTCGACAGGCAGACGAGAGAGGTGACGGAGGCCATCTTTGCCGAATTGTGTTTGTCCTTCGGGTGCCGCTTTCTCGTATCCAGGATAAGATTTTGAAGAGTTAGATGGGAATTTAGACTCTATATTACATTATTACTAGAAAAAAACCAGTGAACAGCAAGAATTCATAGGAAAAATGAAGTCGCCGATCATGAATGACAGCTTTTAAGGGCTGTTTGGTACCACCCACGATTTGTTAAATTCCGATTTCAGAAATTCTGAGGGGTCTAAATTCAATAAACTGTTTGCTTAACATTGATGATAAATTCAATTAAATTATGTGTAACTATTTGGTTGTATAACGGATTTAACGAGCGGACTCTTCCTCTCGAGCCAACCTACTTCATAAATTCCGCAGAAACATGATTTCGGAAATCCAGGATTTAGCATGAAAATGCAGAATTTTTTGTCTTCGGTGGCTTTGATTTACTATGAGATTTGGCTTTGCATTTTAAGCCTTTTGGCTGTATTTCGCTCAAATCCAGCCTAAATTCTGCTACCAAACAACTCCTTAAAGTACTGAAATGCAATGTAATATTTATTGTATAAAGAATATATTATTTTTGAAGTTATTCGTAAAATTGTTTTTAAGTTTAAAATAAAAATAGATAGTTTTATTTTTTAATGTATAACTTGAAGTAGAATGAATGAAGTACAAAGTTAAAATATGACATATTAGCAATGGTAACGACCAACAACAGTGGCGGCCGATGTCGGCAAGCGGTGGGGATCAAAATAAAACAGAGGGTGGCGGTGCTTGGTGGTAGTTGGCCGCGGTAGTTGGTGGTCAGCAGTGTTGGGCGGTGGGAGGTCATGGCAGGTGGTCGGTAACGACATGGTAGCTTGCTTAAAGTGAAAAATGAATTCAATCAAATTTGGCCGAGTTTAAAATTCATAAAAAATAAACTAATTAGTAAAAATTGAATTCCGTGGAATTTTACGGTGCATTCATTTTCATTCAATACTTTGAATACTTATATATTTGGAATACTTTTGCATCCTCTTTACTTCAAATCAAACATATCCTAAAATGTGTATGTATGAGAGTATTTAAGACATTAGGGAGTTAAAATTTTTGTAAGAAAAAGTATCCACATTCGGCTAAGGGAAGAGTAGAAAAATTTATAAGAGACATTAAATCAACCTCTACGCAAATTTGATCCTTCGAGTAGAAGTAGGGGTGTTAACGAGATGAGAAGAGCTCGAGTCATTTTTTATTTGAGCTTGGCTTGATTAATTAATCGAGTTCTAGTTCAAGCTAAATCTTAATTTTAATAGTTTGAATCAACTCACAAACTAGCTCATTTATATAAAGAATAAATTTTAATTAAATTATAAAAAAAATTATAAGAAAATTAATAAGAAATCATTTGATATAAAAATATATATATAATTTTTAAATATTTTTGGACTATTTTGTTGACTAAAAAATGAATGCAGTTGAGGTTGACTTAAGCTAAAGAGTCAAGTTGATGTTGGCTCAAACTTAATTGGTTAGCTTATTGAGGTCTACTTACTAGTCATTTATTGAGCTGAACTTGAGCCCGAGCAAACTTGACTAACTCCCCCTAAGTAGAACACAAAATAACTACTCATGATATCATAAATGTCCATAAAATTTAAATTGAACAACTCTCAAAGATGTATAAGAATTCCTACTAATAAATTAAACTGACTCCCTAACAAAAATACGTGTTAAGAGACCACGAGAAATTATTTTGTGCGGACACCAGATGGTCCGGAGACCAATCAAAACACGTCACGTCATCCTGTACCGAACAATACTGAGCACCGATACCGAACAAAAAAGTGATGTGGCGTATTCTTGTTGATCTCCAGATATCGTTCGGGTCCGCACATAATAATTTTTCTTTAGTAGGTCTCATTTTCATTAAATTTAGTTTTATTCATCTAATTACACCCTATTAAAGTCATCAAGAGGTAATATTTTAATACACATTAAAGTCAAATTTAGTTAATTAATTTTTCGTTAATCCTTAATTATTCCAAGAAAACTCTCATACATCCCTAATTAACCGAAATTAACATCTTAATTTCCCCCTAAATTTAATAACAATTAGATTTGTTGTGTGGCTGCTGGACATTTAAGCCTATGATATTTATGTATTTGTTGTAATTTTTCCACTACAACAAAATAATTTGCCACACCAAAGGATTAATAGAATCAGCAAGAAATTGTTGTCTTGAACTTCATGATGCACATCAACTAATTGAAAATTGCAAAATTCTTTTGAGGGGTTTATAAGTAAACAATTTGATCAAATAAATAATTAAATTCACTATTTATAATTTTATGATTACTGGTAATTTTGTAAATAATAAAAAATTGTAATTGCATATGCATAAATTTTGATTTCATTATTTGATAAATATAAAGATAATGATAAAACCTTCCCTATCTACAGTGCTAAATACAACAACCAAAACAATCTCAAACTTAAAGCTTCCTAACACATAAAACTCATAAAGAATCTCATCATATCTCAAGAGATTATTCTGTGCAAACGCCGAATGCAGTTCATCGTTCAGAGACAAACCAGAATACGTCACGCCAGTGATACCGAGCCAGAGCAGTACCGTGCCGGGTACTGAACCAGGGGTGACGTGGCGCATCCTGGTTGATCTCTGGACGCCATTTGGCATCCACACAGAATAATTTCACCATCATCGTCTCCCCTCCTAAAAACCAAGGCTAATAAAGCTAAATTTAACTTCGACTTCCTTCGAAACAGCTTTTTTACTGTGTTCTAATATAAAATTGCTTTAGAAAATAATAAAAAAGCTGCCCGAAATGAACTGAAAGGAAAATACATAACAAATTAAAACCCTACTGATGAAAATAAAATAAAATGAAGTTCAAACATCAAGCTCACAATGGAAAATTGGAGCTTCGAAGGCATTGAGCTCACCAAAGATGACATCGGCTCCTTCAACAACAAAGCTTTCATTGTCATGGACCTTGAAGAAAGTCTGAATGTCGTCAGGAAAACTGCACTGAGATGGCGATTTTTCGCCGGAATCTTGCAGCGACGGCGGCGTGTTGATCGCCGATGTGCTCTCGAGCATCTCCTTGAACTTTGATGATCGAAGTAACAGCTCAAGTGCGGATGATGGAGTCGGAATTGTTGATTGTGAGTGAGGTAAAGATAGGATTTGCTCATAATTTTGTTGCTGTTGTTCTTGCGAAAAGCTGAGACAAGAATTGGGCGATGCGTTTGTGGATTGCGAGGGGTTCATCGATCTGTTGTCTTCAAGATTCGGACGAACCAGCTTGATGTAACGGCTGAGATCAAAGTTGGTGACTGCATTGATGCCGCGGTATTTGATTGCTGCTACGTCATATGCTGCTGCTGCCTCTTCTTGTGTTGCTGTGAAATTTAGTTTGTATCAGAACTAAACTACTCCAACGATTTTAGATCATCATTAAAAAAAAAAAAAAAACTTAGGCTTCATTTTAGATGATTTTTTTACAGCTTCTTAAAATAGTTTTTAAGTAATAAATTAAAAATTTTATACTAAAAAATTATTTTGAGAAGCAGTAAGAAAGTCGTCCCAAACAAAATCCTATATTTAGTTTGAGACAACTTTCTTTATATTTTTTAGAATGTATTTTTAGTATTAAAATTTTTAATTCAAAAAATTTTTGTACTAGAAAAATACCTTAGAAAATAGTAAAGAAGTTGTCAGGCTTCATTTAGGATAGCTTACTTATTGCTTTCTAAAGTAGTTATCTAGTATCAAAATTTTGATTTCAAAAACTTTTTGTACTAAAAAACTGCTTTACAAAGCCCAGAGAATGCTATCCCAAATGAAAACTTGGGGTTCTTTTAAGACAATTTTATTAATGTTTCTTAAAACAACTTTTTAGTATAAAAATTAAAAATTTTGAATTATAAAATTGTTTTAAGAAACAATAAGAAATTCATCCCAAACGAAACCTTAGGCTTCATTTGGGACAGCTTTCTTACTGCTTCTTAAAGCAGCTTTCTGGAATAAAAATTTTAATTTTTAAACTAGAAAGTCATTTTAAGAAGCAATAAAAAGCTGCGTCAAATGAAACATTAATCTTGATAAAAAAAGCTTAATGTATATAATTTGTTTTTTGTTTAATTCTTATGCTGATGAATTGAGTTATAGAATAAAAAATTCAGCTCTTTTTAAACCAAATTAAACAAAAATTTCAATCATTTCTATTATTCTCCATTTCTAATATCAATTTTGAAGTGTTGTTGAGAATGCAAATTAATTTGAATAAATGAAATTTGCATATTTCGAATTAATTGGAGCATAGCATTGCCCCCAACGATAAATTCTCCTATTCGGTTGAAATTTATAGCTGTGAGACTGTGCCAGCCACATTAAAATTGATCATTATAAATAGCCAACCATGAGGACATTTTTAGGTAGGAGCTTAAGCTTAGAAGGGACGTGGCAATTAAGTCTGCATCTTAAAGTAAAATTTCATCACATTGGAGCATAGCATTGCCCCCAACGATAAATTCTCCTATTCGGTTGAAATTTATAGCTGTGAGACTGTGCCAGCCACATTAAAATTGATCATTATAAATAGCCAACCATGAGGACATTTTTAGGTAGGAGCTTAAGCTTAGAAGGGACGTGGCAATTAAGTCTGCATCTTAAAGTAAAATTTCATCACATCAAATATATATATATATATATATATTAAAAAAATATTTATTATCAGTTTCTTATATTATTCATTTACCTTTTATGAAGATTGACATTTAAGGGCTAGTGTGGGATAGCTACGTTATAATGTTTTATAAAGTTGACTGTAAAGTTGTGGGGAAAGTAAATTAACTATTATGGGTGCAAAATATAAATTTTAACCACAAATTTTATTGAAAAGTAATGAAAAAATAATAAGGAAATAGTAGCTAAATAAAATTATTGTTACTCTTTTAAAAATAAAACAACAAGAAAATAGTCCCAAACAGGATTAATTATTCTGTGCGGAGGCCGAGCGTCGTACGGAGACCAACCAGAATGCGTCACGTCACCCTTCGCTCGGTATTGTGGCTCGGTATTGCTGCCCAGTACTGTTGACGTGATACATTCTGGTTGCTCTCCAGATGATATTCTGAGTCCGATCTCCGCACAAAATAATTTCTCCCCAAACATGCCTTAAGTAGAGTAGTTAGCATATAAGTTGTAATATGGTAAGCTCATTGGCCAATTTTTACTTATTTATAAAAAGGCTTTATAAAATATATATTTCAAATATTACTAAATATAATATGAATTACTTAGCGATATTAATTCAGTTTTTTTATATGTGACTTATTAGAGGCTGAATAAACTATTATGATAAAAAAAATTGAGCAAAATGACCTAATTTTTTTGTTCAATAACAATAAATAAAATAGAAGTTTAAATAGAATGAAAAGTTGGTCCCAAATCTATGGGGTAGCTTTCACAGATTAGGACAATATGTGGGGAGTAAAGGGAAAATAATTAATGCTTCTGATTTAGAGATTTAAATGGGACACCCATTTGCAAAATCTTTATAAAATCTATATTAAATTAGTATTTTTCTTTTTTTTATTAAAAAATCATCATAGCTATTTTAATCTTAATTATAATAAATAAAAAGATAAAAAAAAACTATATACATTATACAAGTTGCAAAAATAGAAATTCAAACTAAAAACAAAAAACTCCTACTTACCATAGGTTCCCAAATACAAGTACTTGTTGCCAAATACACGACCAATCCGAGCTTCCCATTTTCCATTATGATGATGCCTATAAAACATTTCAAATTATTGCATTGTTTACATATTCACACAAAAAAGAAAGATAATTCTTTAGAGGTCATGCATGAGGACTCATATGTGAGAGTGGGCATTTAATATACATAAGGGATAATTTTAAAACATATATATATATATATATATATATATATATATTACTCTTCTTTAAAATTTTTTTTTGAGGGGGGGCAATTCCCCCCCTAACAATCATGCAAATGGTTCCGCCAATGCTGCACAGAATAATTTCTCCTCATGTGGGGCCTCCTCATGAATTGAAATAAAAAGTTATATATACCACGAGTCAATAAGGCTTGAGTATATCTGACATGAATCTCGAGACATATTTGAATGACAAACTTTCAAACATGAATATCAAAATTATTAAATTTATGCCACATTGTTATCTTATTTGTGTTTCTGTCCACACTCTGCTCTTATTTATATGTAAGCTGTATCTTCGTGCAAAATTAAGCCATTAAACTCTCTAACTCTCAATTACATCGAATGTTTCAACATGCAAATTTTAAAATCAATGTGATAAATAAATTATAATTTAAATATTTATTTTGAAAAAAAAATTGAGGTGCAATCATTAAGAAATTAGAGATGTGAAATAAATTTATTTATGTCACAACTTCTCAATGGTTGGAAGGTAACCAACCAAGTTCATGCTTAGAGGCTACAATAAAGCAACCAATCCTAACTATTCCACCAAAACCACAACTAACTCCATCCTCAAAATTAACTCATCATCCACCCCTTTAAATTTAATCCAACGGTCATAAATCCATCCTTCATAATTATATTGCTTAAAAGCAATAAATATAAATGTAAAGGTGGATATGATATTCTTTCTAATTTGTTTATTTTTTTAATAAATAATTTATATTACACTCTTCTCAAAATTTATCTAATAGTATAATGTCTATTCTGAAATAATTTTTTTTCCAACAACTATAGCTTAGAGAAATTTTTAGCATTTTATTTTATTTCTTAAAAAAAAAAAGCTTTCTTACTATTATGAAAACTATTTAAATGATTTCCATAATTTTCCATTATAACTACATTTAAGCATAGATTATTAAGTCATGATTCCTTTATCGAATGTTTAAGAGTAAAAAACAATGGACTCACCTTGCAACACCTCTGTATTTAGATACTCCTCTTGAGAATCCACTGCTCTTCCTGCATTTTACAAAAAAATTATAATATTAATTACTAAATTAATTGTTAATTAATTTTGATAATCCTATTTAGTGTATTTGGTTGTGGTTTAATTACCTTCTTAAGGATCCAATATACTCTTCCTTGGATTGTCCTTCCATTTCTTTCACCTCCCCTGTGTAGTTCAGAAGCTGCCATTTTTACAATTAAAAATCATATAAATTATAAGAAAAAAGAGAAAAAATCTGATGAACAGAGATAAAGAGAAAGATTACAGGAAAATTCAGTATGGTTTCTTGTCCCCAGTACTTCAATGCAGCCAAATCGTAGGCATGAGCTGCAGCTTCTTCATCATCATATGCTCCTGTACGCATCAAAACCTTAGTAAAATCTTTCTGAAAATGTATAACTCTCTCTCTAATGGTTTTTATTCTTTTTTACTGATCAAACTCACCAAGATAAACTGCATTGTATTTGAATTCCATCCACAGCAACAGCACAACAAGAGGGGAAAAAGATTCAACAGAGTATTAGAACAGAAATAATCTCATAAACACATAGAAGAAGAAGAAGAAGAAGAAGAAGAAGAAGAAGCAGACGAAATAAAAACCTTGTCTTCCTTTCTTGTTTTGTGAATAATTCCAGCAATTCTTATCCCATAGATGAGCCTCATATCTTCCAGTCCACCTGTGCCTGAAATCCCAATAGACAGAGCAAAGTAAAGAAAACAGAGCAAAACAGAGGGATCAAATTGAAGTGATTATACTTCTCAATTTAATAAATCGTATTCCATTTCAATATAATAAATAAGTAAATTTATGTAATAAATATGAAAAAGTTTATATTTTTCATTAATAATCTGCTGAAAAACAAGAAGAAATCGAGCTTAGAAGACAGTATAAGAAATGGTGAACAGATCTATGAAAGATGAAGAAGAAGAAGAAGAAGAAAGAACCTTGTAACACCACGAAAAATCGAGCTTCTCTGAGATGGAGATTCTCTCGGCACGCACTTCCTCGTCCTCCTCACCTTTTCAATGCCTTTGAAGCTTCCTCTGTTGCTGTCGTTTGTGTCTGTGAAGGAAGGAGAGTTGCTCTGTTTCTTCTTCGCCATGGAAAACTGAGGTGTTGAGAGGAGGAGAAGACGAGAGATATAAGGAAGAGTGAGAGGGCAAGAGATTGACAAAGTCATCAAGTGGAGAGCGTCTTAAAAAGCCGGCAAAAGGTTGGACTATTTTGGAATAATGGAAAATAAGAGCCGGCCAACCTTTCTTTCTCTCTCTAAAATATCTCTCTAAACTTTTTTTTTTCTGTCCATTTTAATCTACGTTGTAGTTTTTGGAAGATTATAAGGCCCCATTTGATTTTCTAAATAAAAAAATTTGTTAGCTTTATAGTTTGGTTGGATGTAATTGAAAATTAATATTGGCTTTAAATTTTAGAAATTCTCTCATAATTATCTTGAATGTATTGATTTGGATTTTACATGTAAAATGAATTTATTATTAATAAGATAATTGTATTTTATATTCTGATATTTGAATATTAATGTTCAATAGCATAAGCAAAATAATGAACAAAGTCTTAAAATTTTATAGACATCAAATTAATTTGGCCAAATAGATTGCAATAGATTGGATAATGAGTAGAAGTATATGATCATTTTGTTTGAATTCTGACTTTTACGTGAATCACACCTAATTATACTGAGAGAAATTGTATATATTAAGCTCATCTTTTGTAGAGATTATTTTGTGCGGAGTTCAAACTCGTCTGGAAGCTAATCCGAATGCATCATGTAATCCAATGTACTAGTTCAAGTTTTGTTCATATCCTGATTGGCCTCCAGATTGGCGCATCCGGATTGGCTTCCAGACGCCTCCGGGTGCCGCACTTAATAAATTTTCCACCTTTCCACCCCTTATTTATATATTTGGATTGGGGCTTGAGTGTTCTAGAATTTGTAACTACATGGCTAAAAATATAGTAATTGTGTTAGTCAGGACTTCTAACTTGATGAAGTCATTTGTGAACCTAACAAGAAGTCATCACCTTAGCATATATGGATGGTTGAATAACCAATAGTCGATTAAATAGTTCTTTTCTTTGAGAAGTCTTCCTTCCTTAATTAGTCATCACGACTAACTTTATAGGTCATAGTTGCTAGGGCTGATTGATAATTTTTAACTTGGCTTGCACGGGCTTGATTTAGCTTGAACCTAGTCAACTACTTGAAATTGTAGGCACCTAATGAGTGGCTAAATCTCATTTTATTATGTATTGTCATGCAACTTCAATGCTTTCTCTTTTAGCTTGTTGAGATATGTAGAGCTCAAATTTTTTTATGGTTATCTCATGCAAGTTTGAATCATAGTTATTTTGATTTATGAAAAATCTAGGATATGATTTGTATCAATCTAATTAGAATTTTCAAATTTTGGTTGTTATCAAATTTGAGATCATATTCATATTTAGTTCTTCATGCATATCATTACATGTTGCTCAATAAAAGGCGAAAAAAATTCAATGATTGAGGGAATTACCCATTCTTCTCTTTCATTCAACTAGGTCTAAAGATTGAGGTCAGAAAAGTGGCCAGTGGAGCGATCAAAGCTTAGAAGTTACATTACTTGATAGAATATAGGGGAATTTCTGTCTTAGGTGATCTATAAAGACCACTAAAGAGATAAATATAATAATTGTAAATCAGAGATATTTTTAAGAGAAAATAAATGGTGGTCATGAAGGCTAAAGATTAACAAGATGATCTGACATAGGGGAAATTAAGCTCTACTTTATTTTTTGTTGAGCATTACAGTCAGAAGAGATGATGCTTATTTTTGTGTGTGTGTTCGTGAAAGAAAGACAGGGAGTATTAGTGATATAGAAGTGAGAGTCTATGAAGGAAAAATAACTCTATATCATATTCTTTATATCTCTAGACTAGTAATTATTTTTCTCTATTTGTAGCCTTAAACATAGTTGGATCACATTGAACCATCGATCAACTCTATTATGTTATTTTCAAATATAAGACACTTTTATATTTTGAAGGGGAACCTAATCTCAATTGGATAACTTTGTTTAGTGCAATGTAAGAGAATATCCTAATCAAATTTGCTCATGATGGATATTAAAATATATAGATTATTACACTAATCTTAAAGCACATACATGAGTTTTAAAACCCATGATAATTAAATGTTGGTCTTGGATATACATTTCATCCCATCCATATCAAAACCAAAGGACCAAAGTCTCTGAAACTATGAAAGGATTTGCTGCCCAATGACTGAAGAAGGTTGTTTCTCTGAAACCTACGTTGCGATTAACTACTCTTCACTGAAAAAAATCTACCCCTATCTTTGACCTATTAACCAACCCATTTAATCCAGGTCATTCAATGATGACCCACATGATATTTTTTATCCCTTCTGATCTAATAATAATCTATCTTTATTTGTATAAAACATGATAAAATGAATTAGTGTTTCCCAAAAAAACGTATTATATGCAAATTAATCAACAAAAAGTATTTTTTTTATGATATGTTATTAATTTTATCAAAGAACTTTGTCTCATTAAAAAGGCATTATATGCAAATTAATCTATTTAACTCAAAACTCACCCTCTCTAATAGTTAACAAATTCATTTTACACTACCTACCATGTTTGGTAGCTATAAGTGATTAGCTGCCATTTGGTTTGGATTAAAGCTTAACAACCATTTTACTGATTAATTAATGGAGATATTTTTTTTTACTCATGACAATAGAAAAACTAACAAACAGTAGAATTTCTTCAATAGATAAATTATTTAAATATTAATATTTAATTAGCATGTATATGAATTGTATTGATTCCCTAATTTATATTCTGATTTCATTAATGGCAAGATCGAAATTGTTCTCCTACATCATTCTCTTCTAATTTGCTTCCATGTGTGTGCTTTTAAAAATATTTATGATTTTGATTATTATATTAATTTTGGTTTAAATTTCACAAAAAAAAATCAAATTTTAAATGTCAATTGATAAAAATAATTAATTAATAAAACAAATATTTTAGTTGATTTCATGTTGAAATATATTAATAGTAAATAGGTGAAAAAATAATTGGTCATTTTTAAATATCAACTCATTGTTAGTCTTGGTTTAATTTTTTTGGGTCAATAAATTATCATTTTTTAATTTTATTCTTATTAAAATTTTCATTAAAAAAAGATATATTTTGACTGAATTTTTGATGTATGATGATTTTGAAAGGCTATTATTTGATGCAGAATATGATGGTCATTGTTGGAGACCATTTAAGCTTTTAGTATAGATTTAAGTGTTAAATAGTTATGTAGCACATTTTGATCTATTGGTTGGATACTTAGGCTACAGATTAAGAGATTTTGAGTTCAAAACTTGCTTTTTATTTTATAATCGAAGAATTTTAAATCATGTGGCATTATTCTTTGTGTGGCAAAAGAGATATGGCCTTCAAGTCCCTTCACAATAGCCAATCATTTCTCACTTTGATACCTTCTATATAATCTGATATATGAATTTAATTTTCTTTTTAATTAATAGTAAAAAGTAGTAAATCTAATTAAAATGTTTTTTCTTGCTTCAAAAGACTTAGGTTTTGTTTGGGGTTTTTTTTTTTTTTGCAGAAGGAGAATATATAATATAAATTTTTAGCTGTAGGAGCATGGAAGTTTAAAAATTTAAACCAGAACAAACAAGTCAGATCATTTGACAAATTCTAATGAATGCACCAAATGATTTGATGTATTCTAAAGAATGAGTCAAATCATTTGGTGCATTATTTAGAACGCATTTAAATTGACACATTCATCCAGTATGTTGTCGAACTGAATTTTGCAGAACTGTAGCAATTCGTCATACTAAAGAGCTCATTCAATGAAATGCACCAAATAGTATGACGCATTCCATTTAATAAACCAAATTGTTTGGCTTATTCTAAATACGCCAAACAGTTTGGTGCATTCAATGGATTGCACCGTCCTGTTTTATTAGTTTGCTTCTTTTTAAATTTTTTTAATACACTGCTCTTACTCCTATTTTAAATTAAACACTTATTCCTTTTTTTTTAAAAAAAAAAAAATTGAATTATATATTTTGTAGTAGAAAATTGCTTTAGAAAGTAAAAAAAAAAATTGTCAGGCTTTGTTTTGCACAACTTTTTTATTGTTTTTTAAACCAACTTTTTAGTACAAATTTTTTTGATCTAAAGCTTTTTGTTCTAAAAAATAGTAAAAAAGCTACCCCAAACAAAATCTTGATGCTTAATCTTTACCACAACAACAAAATATGCTTAATACTTCCTCAAGCCTTGATAAAAATGTCCCCTTTGTCCATGTTTTAGACATGTTTGGAGCATTCTACAACTTTCTTTTAAAATTTTGAAAATGATTCTTTCAAAAGCCAACCAATTCAATCTTCTTCTTTTGTACCACTAATCAACTATTAAACCCTATAACATTCAATACAACATCATCCTTTGGAATTTAGCAATGGCTCCATTTGATAAAAGGTAAGTGATGAAAATATTTAAAATATTTAAATCCATTAGTAAAATACTAAATCAAAGAAAATAAATATATCATTATATTATATTCCATTTTTTTATTAAAACTTATTAGAGTTTAAAAAAATTACACTTAATATCACCAAGACAAAGTCACAAATTGGTCAGATCAAATATTATTTTCTATTATTATTATTCAATTTTTATTTCATGAAAACTTCAAACTTAAAATATTTTCACTTGCATGGGATTGAAATTTTTAAGTTTTGTTAATGGAGAGGAATAAATTCCTTATAATGTTTTTAAATATAAATCAGATTCATAAACTTTTGTTGGAAGAATTTGACAAATAGAAGCTTCTCTTGATATGTATGCAAATTTCAATGGTATTTGCACATAAAATAATAATTATGAAGGGACATTTGGAGAAAAGACCCTTTAGTATTTTATGAGAAGAAAACCAAACCAAACATTTTTTTTTAATTTCATTATTTGTTTAATTACACTAATACACCTCATAGTCAACTCATTCTTGAAAAAACTTTGGTTGTGTGATGGTATGGGTTTTGCTTGTTCTTTTGTTTATAGTGGTAGGGTTTGAAGCTAAGGTCAAAATCATAGTGTTTATATTGCACAAGTAATTTTCATATTTATGCCAAATACATATATGGAAATTAAAGAAGATGATATGATGCGATGATATAATTTTCATCAACTACATATGCACAAATATTTTAGAGTAAGTATATCACCATCCACAATATCAAGAGTATTTCCTCACAAAGCAACACTTGTTTTAGATGTCAAGTATGATAATTGCTTTTTATTTCTAAGAAAATATCATTATTGAATGTTAGACTGCCCTTGGTAAATTGTTTGACGAAATCTGCTCATTTTATCATGATCCAACAGTCTAATTCAATGGATAAGTTGACACAAGGTATACATCCGTGAAATTATTCAATTACACAAGATACCAAAAGTGATTGTTTCTAAAATAGATGTTAGATTTACCTCCAAACTTTAGAGAGGTATTTGGCAAGGTCTGATTGTGATAATACTGTGGTGGGTTGATAGTTGTTAGGAGATCATATTCGAGACTGTCGGGTGATGGCAATTAGAAGACTATAATCGAGTGATGATAATTAAATGACTACAGTAGAGTGATGGTGGTTGGAGGAACAAAGTCATGCAATGGTGGTTGAGAAATTAATGTCAGGTGATGGTTATTAGAGGTTGAAGTTGGGCGAGAATGGGTAGTGGATCGTAGTCCGATAATGGTAGTCAAAGGATCGCAATTAGGTGACGGTGCTTAAATGGTTATAGTTGGATGACTGTGCTTAAAGAATCATAGTCAAATGATAGTAGCTGGAGATATATAATGATTGATGGTTGTCAGAGGACCGTATTTGGATGATGATGAACAAAGCACCTTAGTCAGGTATTGATAGTCAGAGAATCATAGTTGGATGATAAAGGTTTAAGAACTGTACGTGCACGATGTAAGTCAGAGGACCATAGTTGGGCTATGATGGCCAAACGATCTTAATCAGACGATGATGACCATGGTCAAAATATTATAGACAAGAGAGAGTGGTTGTAGTACCATAATTAGGCAATACGGTCAAGCAACTATACTCAGGAAATATTCTTGGAGATTGTGGTTTAGAGAAGGTGGTTATAATTAAGACCGTAGTCTGAGAAAGGTAGTCTAAGGACCGTATTTGGGAGAAGGTGCTTGCATTATGATAGTTTGATGATGACAACGATGGTCAGAGGGGCATAATAGTGCAACGACGGATGGGCATAATAGTGCAACGACGGATCAAACTGCATCGTAATGTAGTGGTAGATTATTATCTAAAGACTATAGTCGGTGATGATCATTAGAGGATCACAGTTGTGCGACTGTGGTTGGAGGACTATAGTCAAGTGATGGTTGTTAGAGGATTGTAGTCGAGCAAGCATAGACAGGCGACAATGGTTTGAGGACTAGTTTGGAAATAATAGACAGGGGGTCATAATGGAGCACGGTGGTTATACAATGGTGTGTGGATAGCGGTAGTCTAATGATGGTGTTGGATGAATGTGGTTCAATGATAGTGGTTGGGTAATTGTTTGATGGAGCTCCAAAATTCTTCAAGTCTCTAAGCACTTTTGAATCACATGCCAAATTTCCCCTTCATGTAGAGATTGAGGGCAATTTTTAGAGCGCTATGCTCCCTAAATATAGCCAAATTTTAGAAGACACTATCGAACAACCGACATTGATTCACTTAATAATAAATTAATAGTTTTTTTAAGCTTTTAAGTGCCTTAATGATGCCAGAAATAAGCGAATTGATCTCATTAAAAAAATATATATATTTTTGCAGTTGATAAAATCAGCTAAACTTGCAATTCTGATATTAAAATATTGAACTCATATGTAAAATCTTTAGATTCCACAGTTTGGATAAAGAAAGTTGATCTCCTTTTCGACACATAGCTTCTTCATTAATTTCCTTTCATGCACTATAATTATACGTTTATATAAAGATAGCTATCATCAGCTGCATCACTTGTTACCAAAGTTGTGTGTTAGATAAGTAACGTTCTGCTTGAGGCAGAATCTAAGAATTTTTTAAAGTAAAATATTGCTTGATTTGGCTTATCAGAGCCATAAATTAAGATGAAGTTGGTAAATTTTGCATATTGTAAGTGGTTTTTCTGTGGAGTAACATGTTTGTACGTAACCTCATTTCCACTTTTTGTGGATCTCAGCTCTCAAGTTTAAGACTTTTGACAGGGCTGTTTTAGGAGAAATTCTTACGTGCGGTCACTGGACGACTGTCGAAGGCGAATCAGGACGCGCCACATCACCATTTTGCTGTGTACTACTGTGTACTGGGCGACATGACACATCCTGATTTGTCTTTAGACGATCCGGTGACTGCACGTAATAATTTCTCCTGTCTTAGACTCTAAATCTTTTCATATATATCAAAAATCACGAGAGTAAATGATTACAACAATGACAATAATATCAAGTCTTTATTGTACTATGAGGGTCGGCTACTTGAATCATTTTTTCTCAATTGTGACATATTAAGAGTCAAATTCTCATTTAAAACTAATAAAAAATAATTATTTCTAATATTTTTAATAAAGTTTTTTAAAGTCTGCCTCTACTTTTCTTAAAATAAGAGTAATTGATTGAAGGATTTTAGTCAAGTGTTATATTTTGTAGTTTCTAATACTATTTTTTTAGATTTTCATCTTAGAAGATATAATTTTGATTTTTTTTTTCAAATTCATATAGATTTAGTGTTTTTTAATGATATATTGATAGCTTTAAGTTTTTTTGTAAAATTTATTGTGGTTTTGGTATAGGGAAATTATTTTTTTTTTAATCAAACGAAAATTTTCTTAAAGCAACCACACATAATACGAGATTTCATCATATGATTGGAAGCAGTTAAAAATGAATATAACATTTATAATTATTAATATATTTAAATTTTTAAAAATGTAATTCAAATTTAATATTTAAAATAAATAGAAAATTTTAAATTTTAAAACAAATTTGACTAAGAAAGTAGCTCTTATATGTATATTATTTTCTCCTAGTGTTATCAATTTGACTCCAATAATGAATTTGACTTATTAAGAAATATTAAAAATTGAATCAAATTTTGACCAAAATGGAGCTCAAATCAAAGTAAATGACTTGACAATTGTGCTATTCCAACATTAAATTTTGACCAAAATGGAGCTCAAAAACTCCATTCTAATAAAAGAAGAAATGTGAATTGTTTGGAATGGCTTTCTTCGGCTTTGTTTGGAACGACTTATCCCGTCATAGGCTTCGTTTGGAATAGCTTTCATACCGTTTTTTAAAAATATACCTTTTTAGCACAAAAATTTTATTTTTTGCACTAAAAATCTATTTTGAGAAGCTATAAAAAAGCAATGCCAAACGAAGTTTAAAACATGGCCTATTTTGAAATTTGACTTCTCCCTTTACTTTATAATTTTTATAAAGTTCCTTTCCCAGTTAATTAATTTGTAGAATACATAATATTCTCTCTCTCTCTCTCTCTCCATTGTTTTCTGACCTATAAGTCAACGCTTTTGGCTGATAGGTTGAAAATCAAGATAAAAAGTCAGCGTTCTCAGCTCTCAGGCTTTCAACTTGATTAATATGACATAAGCTTTCAAAAAAATTAATTAAAATAATCATAATAAAACGTGAATTTTTCCATTTTTTTATTTTGTAATTGGTTAATTAGATTAGAAAGTTTCAAAGAGTCCATATGTATGAATATTTCAGCATCAAATTAATAAATAAGTTACATAGAAATGGTCAGTCATAACTAAAATATAAAATTTTAAACAAAAAACCAAAATGAAATAATCAAAGGGTAAAAATGTTCATACAAAGTCTTCCATAAATATCTATTTTTTTTAATTAATAAGAGCATAATTATCATTATAATAATTTACTTCAAAAAACAATAAAAAAACTATCCCAAACAAAATCTTAATTTCATTGAAGAAACTTCTTTGAAGTAATTCAAGATTAACTTCATTATAGTATATAAAATTTGAATAAATAAATAAAATAAAAAATTAACATAATTCACTAAAAGTCATAGTTGTAAATATGACAAGCCATCAAATTACTTGATTTCAAAAAGAAGGGCACAGAGATCAAACAACAAAATAGATCATCACTCAGAATCAGTGGGCAAGAAATGCAGTTACATTCCAAGTAAAAGTCAGTTGAATTCCAGTATCCTCCTACAAATTTAGGCTTCATTTGGGACAGCTTTTTTGCCACTTCTGAAACCAAATTTTTATACTAAAAAGTTGTTTTAAGAAGCAATAAGAAAGCTGCCCCAAACGAAACCTTAATAGGGAAGGCAATCTATCTTCCAATGTAGCTAAACCATTGATTGGTCACATCAGAACAATTAAACTTAGTTCAGGTGCTTATAGAGTTTGAGAATATTTCTTAAAAAATTAAATAAATAACTTGTGACTGCTATATCTTAGTTCTTTGATTGGAGAAAAAAGGAAGAAATATAGAGTTGAAGATCCAGCAAAAGAAGTAAAGGCCAGAGAGGAAGAGTAAACTTGACCATCCCAAGCTTACAGAAGCTCTGAAGTTCAAGAGAGGAAAGACATTGAATGGTCACCAATTTGGAAATTAATTTTCCCTGGAAAAACAAAAGGAAATGGTATTATAATATTAGATCCATTATGAAATAACAATGCAAGAAACTGTATGGAGGAGGAAAAAATACAAAGATGTGGCTTTATATGTTATTAAATTGATATCAAACTTTCTATAAGAAAAAGGAAAAAAAAAAAAAACTGAATAACAAGATAAATCTGATGAGGATAAACTTGCAATCAGTCATGGCTTTGCATAAATAGATCTTCAGCTCAATGTGGCTGCTTCATCTCTGCAGAAATTATTACCTTATTGCTAATTTAATCTACACCATTGAGCTGTAACCAAGGGTGTAAGTGAGCCGAGCCCGCTTGCGAGCCGGCTTCGATTCGGCTCATTAACGAGCTCACAAGTCGAGCTTATCGAGCCACAAGTTCAAGCTTGAGCTTAAGCTCAAACCTGGCTCGGCTCGAAAGCTCGTTAAGTGGCTTGATTAAATTAAAATGCATTTAATAATTAATTTAATTGGGAAATTTACATACATACCACTTTATAACATCCTATTTACATATCTAACATCCAAAATTTTAATATTACATGCATACCACCCTATATTATTTTAATATCAAATACATCACTTATATTTCTTTACTATCACTCATATATTTCATTTCTACCACTCATATTTGATATGAAAATGAACTATGTGTGGTATGTATGTAATATTAAAGTTTTAGGTGTTAAATATGTAAATAGAATAGTATTAGGTGGTATGTATGTAAATCTCCCTTAATTTAAATTAGTATTATATAGTATATTTTAATAATTTTAAATTAATTCTATATTAAAATATAAAATTTCTTAAAAACTGATTTTTCTTAAAAAATTTAAAACAAAAAAATCAAGCTCAACGATCGAGTCGAGCTGGAGCTCAGTAACAACTAAATAAGCTTATAGTTTGATTAGATAGATACTCGGCTCGACTCATTTACACCCTTAGCTGAACAACAACAACAACATCAAGCCTTTATCCCACTACGTGGGGTCAGCTACATGAATCTTTTTTCTCTATTGTATCCTATTAAAGGTCAAATTCTCGTTTAAATCTAATAAAGAAAGGTCATTCCTAGTATTTCTAACCAGATCTTTTTAGGTCTGCCTCTACCTTTCTTAACATAAGTCAAATCTAATACCTCTACTCTCCTAACCAGGTCATTGGAAGGCCGCCGTTTTATGTGACCAAACCATCTAAGGCGACTCTCTCTAATCTTATCTTCTACTGGAGCTACTCCAACCTTTTCACGTATATACTCATTTCGTATCCTATCTCTAGGGGTAAAGCCACTCATCCACCTGAGCATCCTCATCTCTGCCACACTTAACTTAATATTATGCTTCTCTTTTAATGGCCAACATTCAGCACCATAAAGCATTGCAGACCTCACTACCATCTTTATAGAATTTTCCCTTAAGTTTGAGGGGTACTTTTTTATCACACAACAAGCCCGATGCATTCCTCCACTTCAACCATCCAACTTGAATTTTGCTGATAATATCCCCATCTATTTCACCATCACTCTGAACAATAGATCCAAGATATCTAAAACGTGTACTCTTATTAATAACTTGATCGCCCAAAGACACAATCCCCTCACTAGGTCTATTACTACTAAAATTACACTCCATATATTTCATTTTAGATCTACTCAAGCGAAAACCTTTAGTCTCTAATGTTGACCTCCATAATTTAAGTTTACTTTCAACTCCCTCTCTAGTCTTATCAACAAGAAGAATATCATCGGCAAAAAGCATACACCAAGGTTCATCCTCTTGCAAATGTCTAGTGAGAACATCCATTGACAAGCAAAAAGATACGAGCTTAAGGTTGATCCTGATGTAACCCAAACGAAATAGGAAAATACTTGGTCAACCACTTGTGTTTGAAAACAAGTTAATCGCTCCTGCCTACATATCTTTAATGAATTGAATATAGCATTATTAACTCCTTTCTTTTCAAGAACTCTCCATAGCACTTCTCTTTGAATTTATCAATGCTTTTTCTAAATCAAATAAATATCATATGTAATCCTCCTTATTTCTTTATATTTTTCCATAAAACCTCTTAATAAATATATGGCTTCCAGCCTTCCATAGTCACCTACCGACATGAATCCAAATGATTTGAGAAACATTAGCATCACGCCGCAACCTATGCTCCATAACTCGCTCCATAGTTTTAAAGTATGACACATTAACTTAATTCCTCTATAATTCGCACAATCTTGTGCATCACCTTTATTCTTAAAAATAGGAATTAACACACTCATTCTCCACTCATCTGGCATCTTTTTAGCCTTCAAAATAGTATTAAAAAGTTTAGTAAGCCAAGAAATACCTTTCATCCCCTTAGCATTTCCACACCTCTATTGGAAATATCATCAGGTTCAACAGCTTTCCACCTTCATTTTTTTTAAAGCCTATCTAATTTCGATTTTACTAATACGCCGATAAAAACAGAAAATCTTTATTTTCATTTAGGGTGCTAAGGTCACTATAGTCAATCTTATTTTCACAATTTTCATTAAAAAGTTTAGCAAAAATATCTCATCCACCTTTGTTGAATATCATCTTCAAAGAAAAGTATTTTTTATCTTCATCCTTAATACACTTCACTTGAACTAAATCCTTACTATTCCTATCTCTTTGTTTAGCCTAACTTATACAGATATCTTTCTCCCCCCTTTAGTATCTAATTATTATATAATCCCTAAAAGCTAAGGTCTTTGCATCGCATATTGCTTTCTTAGATCCTTACGAGCCTCTTTATATCTATCCCAATTATCATAATTTTTAAAATTAAACCATTTTTGTAACAAAATCTTTCTTATTCTTTATCTTTTCTTGCACATTTGGATTCCACCAACCAAACTATTTTTTACTATTAGGAGGCTTTTCCCTTTGGTACCCAAGCACATCTTTTGCAATATTCTTAATATCACTAGCCCACTTATCCCACATAATATTAGCATCCTCATGCACAGATATAAATCTTAAGATCTAAAAATCTTACTCTCAAAAAATATTTTTGTTAATATTGCTTTAAAATGCCCCATCTAATCATAGAATAATATCGTTTTACTTTATTTTTATTATCTGTCTCTTTATCTTAAAGTCCAAAAATAATAATCGATGTCTGAGTATATAAATTTTCACTCTATATAACTTTACAATCTTTGCAATCTAATCGATCTAATTTTCTTATAAGAAAATAATCAATCTGTTTGTACTATATCCATTTTTATAAAGTGAAGAGATGCTCATTTCTTTTCTAAATAATGTATTAGACAATTGAAAATCCTAAGCTAAACAAAAATCTAAAATGGTCTTGCCACCTTCGTTTGTTGTTCCAAAATCATAGCAACCATGAATGCTTTAAAATCATCTACCTCTCTACCAACATATCCATTTAAATCTCCTCCAATAAAAACTATTTCTTCTAGAGGTATCTTTTGTAATAAATCTTCTAAGTCATTCGAAAAATTTAATTTATAACTCATATCCAAACCTACTTGAGGAGCATAAGCACTTATAATATTAACAATCTTATCATCAACAACAATCTTTAAAGTTATAATTCTATCTCCAATCCAATTAATATTTATAATATTATACTTCAAATTCTTATCTATAATAACACCTACACCATTTCTAGTACGACTCCTACCCGAATACCAAAGTTTAAATCCTAAACTATCGATTTCCTTGGCCTTCTCTCCAACCCACTTAGTTTCCTGAATGCACAAAATATTTATCCTCCTATGAATCATAATATCTATTAATTCCATTAATTTTCCAGTAAGGGAACCTATATTCCAAGTTCCTATCCTAATTTTAATATTATGGACTAGCTTCTTTGCCCACATCCATCCTTGATGTGGGAACCCTTGCCTATTTAACACTGCACCCGGGTGCCAGTGCAGCGGCCCTTGCACACTTGAAACTGTATTCAGGCCATACAGCGCGTCACTTCCAGGGGACGCCCTAGCATTAACACAATTTCTTAAAGGATTCATGTCATTATTATTTGACAAGTTTTACGCTGGTTGTCGACTACCTAACGCAACCCTCCACTTTTCTCATCCAGGACTTGGGACCTGACAACGGTAGTGTTAGCTGAACTACTCCAAGGCAATATTGTATTTACACCTTCAATAAACTAAATATGTACACATACTCAACTACTGTTATAGTTCAACAAATTGGGAAGGAATACACATTGTATTTTCAGCTATAGTTCCCTAGTTCGTGAATTCCGCTAATGTTCCTTGTTACTGTTTCATTAACTCGATGTTTTAGCACAGCTTCCACGAATTCAACAGGCTAATTTATAAAAAAGAGCACGGTTGTAATTGAATTAAGCAGAAGAAGCATGTTTGAGAGAATTTAAAAATGAACAAATATGGTTAAACTACTTTTCCGATTAAAGGAATGTGTGAAAATGTCTAATGCTTTCTTACCGGGGCGGAACCCCTTTGTTACTAGGGGGCTTGCCCCCCTTAATTTTTTTTTTCATTATACTCTTATTTATGTAATTTTTAGTCTTTATTACAAGGATTTTTAGGTAATTGCCCCCCCCCTAAAAATGTTAAAATACTATGGTCTTTAGGCAATTGCCCCCAATATTATTAAATACATTGTGTAGATGTGTTATTGTTAGGGAATGATGAACCAAATACAAAGAGAAATAGTAAATACAAAGGTCAAACCCCGTCAGGGGGCGCTGCCCCCTTGGACCCCCGACATATATACGAACAGTTACTTATATATTTGCTCCCCCTGAAAATTATGACTGGTTCCGCCCCTGCTTTCTTAGAAGCATTAAAGTGTTCCATTTTTTTTTCTTTTATTTATAAATCGTTATCTACCGTTATACTGTCATTTTTGTACTCACCAATATTAAATTCATTAAATTTTGTGCATTTTTAAATTATTTTAAGTAATTTACTTTTATAATAAATTTTTTTAAAATTAAAGTCATTCTTT